TTAACATCATTGTTTTAAAATGCGGTGATTTGTACGATTTTCGTCAACATTTGATCTTAAAAAAAAAAAACGTATTGCCTTTTTTTTATATCACTAAATAAAACTTATTATGAATCTCGTGTTCAATTTTAAAATATGTTGGCTTTTAAAAAAAATATATACACATTAAATCAAATTAAACCTAAAAGCTCGATAAGGCCAAATTGCTACAAATAGCTATACAATTATCCAAGTCTAAAAAAACCAATATATTTTTATGTATTCTGTTAAATTTTTAAGTCTACGATTGTTTTTCAACTGATATATAATAAAAAAAGATATTGCATGTGCAACGCCGCACCTAAGTTTTTTGGGCAGCAGAAGTTTTAGTACCTCAATTGTCCGTACATCATAAAACTTCCTTCCTGAAATAAGTCGCTTTCAGCCCAACCACAAGTATGCTATAACCGTGATGTTTCGTAGGATGATATCTTAAATTTGCTTACATCAGTGTTCAGTAAACAAAACAAGTAAACATAAAGATCACAAATTGTTTCATTAGAATTATATTTAAATACCGCTTACTCAGTTAGTTTGATAATAAAATCAAAATAAAGAAATACATGTAAAAGAAAAATTAACTATTACCAGTATTATTTTAAATAATCAAAGTATAAATCTTTATTTTAAAACTTTATCCCCTTGTCTTTAAACTTTAAAAATTTGTTATAATTTTATCTTAAATTAACTCCTTAAACTAAGTTGTTTAAACATTGATTAAAATCGAAAAATGATCTCCTTAAAGTTTAAACCAGATAAAATTTCTTTTCAGAAAGGGTACTAAACTCGAAAATCGGAGCAAAGTTTCTTGTATAAAAGTTGTTCATAGATAAAAAAAAATCTAAAAAATAAACACCATTGTAAAACCAATACATTCCTCCCTACCCTCCGAATCTAAAACAAAAGTGAAAATAACAAAACCGCTATTTCTGTAAACTTTCCCGTTTTTTAACGTTTTCCCAAGTTTTCTCAGTTATTAAAAAAACTGTATTGAAAATTAACAATTTGCCGTTTAAGTAAGTCAATGAGACATAATTTTTTTTCGAAAATTGTGCTACATTTGAATATTGGAGTTTGGTTTTTTGGTTGAAAAGTTGTTCAAAAATAATAATATCACATCATTATAAAATCAATATACAGTGCTCGTTGAGCTCAGAATTTAAAATAATGTAGTAAAATTCAACTGCACTCAGAAGCCTCAAAACGGACAGGTACTTTGCACCGTGAGTGTGACAACGTTGTGGGTGGAAAGTCAAGAAGGTAGAATATGATTTAGGGTAATTTTGTTTATATCTGTACACAGTTGAAGCACGAGGATTGTTCCATTTGTCTGAAGACACGTTGATTTTTTTTTTTTTAATAGGTGGGTGGGTAAATAGGTAGGACAGCTAGTTGAACGTTAGATAACTAAATGGGAAGTAGGTACTATTCATACAATTAGTTGGCTTAATTAAGTTCAATTATTTTTGCAAAAAAGATTATTTTAAAAATTTAAGGGGGAGGCGGAGGTCATTCATTGATAAATCGGTGGGCGAGTGAGTGGGTTAAATAATTTCGCTAGTCACTTAAAATGTAATTTCACGTTGCCACTGCCTGTACCTACACAGCGTTAAATCATTGCAAACGAAAGACGATTCTGAACAAAGATTTTTAAACGTTTTTTGAATAAGTTCCATTGAAAATATTGTTCATTTGTTTTATTTATTTATTTAATAAATACATCAAAACGATGATGCCCTTGTTACGTATTCGTCCCGAATTTATGATCATTATTTATGTTGAGCCAAAACCGTGTTATCTACACATAAATGTTAGATAGTAATACCTATACTTACGTGAAATGCCGAGAGTTTTGCGATTTTCATCAAAATGTGACCTTTAAACGCTTATATATTATAATATATGTATATATGTATAGAAAAAAATTAGTAACAACGGATTTTCGTTATATCAATTGAAATTAATTTATGATATTTTTTTTTCCCGTCCGAGTAAATTACGGTAACTGGAGTATATGGCTATGTAAGTTTAAAAATAAAATTTATCGTATGCACTCGGTGCATTTTCTCAGCACATTATCGTCGTTTATATTTATGACCTCCGCGTTCGATATTATTGATTCGTAAGTGTACATAAATTTAGACATGGCGCGTGTTTTACTCGCTATTCGAAAATTATATTATACCTGTATTATGGTTGTTTAGCAGTTCTTTAAGTTTGTAAGAAAATATTTTATTCCGTGCTCATTATTATTGTTGTTTTTATACAAGTATAGGTATCCATTTTGTAAATTCTGACTTTCGTGAAAAAAAAAACGTACTTTAAAATCTTTATTTTGCTGTTTGGTACGTTCAGTTTTGAATATAGCTCAATAATATAGTTTCCATACCAATCGGTAATTGCAGACTAGAAAAAATTCAGTAAAAATTCTTACGATTTTAATGACCCATTACCATTACCATTTGGTAATTCTCTCCGATTGTATCAATTCTAAACCTTAAAAATTTTGAACAACGACGTTTGGGTCTAAACATATACTTTTCGAAAATATTGACTACTTTGAATTTGTAGGTAAATTCTCCTTTCATACTCTAACTCGTAATACAAAGTCAATTAATATATTTTATCTTATCTTAATTATGCAATCAATATCCTTCTCAATAAAATTATGAAAACCATAAATGAATAAAAAATCGATTTATTCATATCACCAAACTTTGACTCATCTAAGATAACATATTGTAATTTCTTACTCATCCACTCTTCTGTAAGTAGTTTATTATTTGTATATTGAATTTCATAATATTCCCTTTACTATTAACGAACGATGGTTAATTGTTAACATTTTTATAGTTGCACTCAGCCCGTTTAAAATTTAAAAAATGACATGAAATAAATTCGTTAGTGGTGATAAAAAATTCATTATGAGAGAAAAACAAACCTAGAAATAAATATAAATGATAAGAAAATGCAGTATGTGTTATATTTTTCAGATGGCATCGCAATAATGACAAATAATGAAAATGATTTGGAAAAATTAATAAAAACTGCAAACGAAAAGAACATTTAAGGAAGAATATTAAACATGAAAATAAATAATTTACAATATTCAAAAATTCTTATACATAGAAAGTAAAAGCAAGAGTGCATAACAGATATTGATGATAATCACGATATAAAACAAGTAAACGAGTTCACGTATTTTCAAGTTATATAATAATTAATAATGATGAAAGCGATAAAAAAAAGTAGTTATAAACGCATTTTCCAAGCGAAAACAGCTTATAACAAAAAAAAAAAAGGCATTATTCAAAGGATATTAACATAAACCTAAGAAAGATTTGTTTGAAAAGATACGTTTGAATTGTGCAACTATATAGAAGTGAAACTCAGACCGAGAGAACAACAAATGTTGAAATAGATACTAAAAAATTATACGAAAAAAGAACAAGTGGATTGGACACATTATGATCAAACGTGATAGCTGATTGAAATTCATTTTAGGAAGGACAGTTAAAAAGAAAAATTTCACAGGAAGACCTAAGATATAAATACATTATGTAAAGCAAATAATGAAAGCTCGAGGATGAGTTGAAGAGAAAAAATGACGACAGAAACGAAAGGGGAAAAGTTGCAAACCAATCTGAGGATTGAAAACACAACAAATCTGCCCTATAGGAAGATGGGGACGGGTCACTTTTATTGGAAGAAATTGGGAAGGTAGTTGAGGGAAAATTTAACATTTTTGTGTAAGCAATGATAAACTATTGATAACGAAAAACGATTCTGAGCAGAGTTCGGTTAATAGTGTTGCTTTATCAACAATATATTATATATCATATCATATGGCAAAATAATTATATAGGCATTATACTATGAATTTTTTAATAATATTTGTTTAATATTGTACCTATTTTCCCGTATTTTTACCGTCCCAGTGAAATTTAATTTTAGAAAAAGTACTATTATTGTAAATCCGAGTAAAAATTTCAGCTGGTCGAAAAGTTGTCCACAGAAAAAAAAAATATACACCGTTTGAAAACCGATACATTTCTCGTTACACTCAGAATCTAAAAAGACTCGTTCATTTCGGAAACACCCTATATATCGTAAATTCATAACTATTCATACGTATTATTTCCGGTTATTGGGCCGTGAGCCGAATGTATATATACATAGAGCTTTACAGAGATTTATAACGTATGATAATATTGTTGTCTAAATTTGAACGTGACCAATAATTCCGCGTTGAAAAAAAATACGTACATGTCGGTATTATTTTTTATTTAAATAATTCCCTATAAAACCAATATGCCGTATTATTTTTCAGTGTAAAGGTAAATATTATGTTTTTATTGCGGGGTTAATGGAACCCATAAAAAATGATTTAATTTATTATACTTCTTTATTTATTTATTTTTTTTTTTTTTTTGTAACTGTGTAAAAAAAAGTTTCCATTAAATGTTTGTGTTTTTTTTTTTTTTTTGTGCATTTCAGTAATTTTATTACCTACCTACATACCTACTTGTCGGTTTAATAACGATATTCGTGTGTTATAAATTCGTGTATAGCTTATCTAAAACCAACAATAATATTAAACAAATCAAACGTAAAACTATTGCGACAGTGACCAATAAATTTTATAACGTATGAGAAGCAATGATATAAATGGATATACGTATCCATTTTATTTGAAATAAACGGTACGTATATAATTATCGAATACAATAAAAAAAAAATAAAAAAAAAATAATAATAATAATAAATGCTAAACCTAGTACGGTTCACTGTCCACGTTAATGGTTTTATTTAAAACATTGTCTTCGCCCTACCAGTCAAAATCTCGACCACATGAAACCGTAATTTTCCGAGTTTCGGATCTCCGCAGTAGTCTAACAAACGTTAACAAACTTTTGAACAATGGCTAACAAGTCTCAAATGAATCTGTTTGAGATATTTGGGCCAAGTATGTTACATAATAATATGCGGTGGTGCCAACTCACGTACCTAAAAACTATCACCGAAGACACTTTTTTAAGGACAAGGACATCCTTAAAAGTATATATATATATATATATATATATATATTAGCTTAATTCAGTATTCTTTTATAAATACGCAATACGCTTTTTAAACTATGAACAATTTTAAACAATACGAAATTTTGTCCTATGCTTAAAATTTAAACGTAACAATAATATGTTATCATAATTTATTATATTGAAGATCGATAAAATACATAAATACGAATGACCTATACGATTCGTATAACAATATTACGGTGATAAAAAATCGTGTTTATCAAACTGCAGATTACATGCATTTAATAGAGAATATTGTTTTCGTATTAATAATATTTCACTGTTCGTCTTCGTCGAGTACGCTGCCCATTTTCAAACACGGAGCAAAGAACGAGGTCTGAAAAAACGTATACAAAATAAAAAAAAATTATATACATTATTAAAGCTCGCGGAATAGCACAAATATATTTTTTGTTTCCCCCTTGTTTATGATATAATCTGTTTTTTGCGCGGAATTTCAACTCCAATGATAAACGAGAACTCATCATCGCATTATTCATCAAACAGACAATATTCTATACGAAAAAAAAAATATATATATATAAGAAAAAATATTGACGATAGTCAAGTGCGGAAAGCCTTTGGAAGCAATAATTATCGGAGAACATTATCGAGAGTCCAACGTTACTTAAAAATATTATAATTTGGGTCGTGGCATATACCTACATGGATTGAAAAATTATTATTTCGTTGACGACACAGAATTACAAAAGTTCTTTGCATTAATAACTATTATTGATGTTGAATGGTGTTTGAAATCGTATAATAATTCGTAGAATTTTTCGCAGGGATGGGGTTGAAACTGCAGTATAACGAACGTGGATACATCGTATAAAAAAAAAAAAAAAACAGATGTGTATAATGTTTTAAAATATGAACGCCATTATAATGTCTGATGGTACGCAGTTTTAGCTTGACGTATCAATATAAGCTGATGACGTCATTTTTAATACGGAAATGGTTTTGACTTATGAAAAGCTAATAGGTAATTTTATACGCGAACAAATTGTTTGAGCACGTTAAAAATAGTATACGTTTTACGCGCATACGGAAATATATTATTGTTATTATCATAAATGTCGCGTCGTGGCAGATCAGGGGTTCCAAAATTTACTAAAGCTCCTCATTTCACGTGTACACGCTTTCACGTATTCACGTGAAATTAACTATAAAACCGTGTACATAAAAAAAATTATCCATGTTCACGTGTAATTATTTACGTGTATTCGTATATTCAAGTATTCCACGTTATTGTTCACGTATTTTCATTAACTACGGTTTCACGTGCAGATAATAACAATAAAACACGTGCACTTGGTTCTTAAACTCACTTATAATAAGTATACATTTCTTATTCACGTGTAAACGGACTCCGTTTTCACGTACCTACTAATTTACGTTTTTAATCGAGGCCTCAAGACCACCTAATCACCAAATTATCAATCTATTTTAAAAGAATAATAAATAAAAACTAACAATGTTGTCATAAATTATAAATTTTCTTTTTATGATGATACCCAATAACTAAAAATAGTTTTGTTCGTATGTTCTCGTTGTCTATTGAACAACAACTAGACAATTTGTAATTTTTTACGACACTTTTACCATACCTACCTAGTGCCCAGGGTCCTATACCCATAGTTTGTATTAGGTTGCAAAAATCGTTAGGATAGTTTTGAGTATTTACCTGTGGTTTATTCATCTCAGCGATTTTCGTATATTTTCGTAGTAGTTCGTCTTCTTTCGCGGTCGGTACGAATGCCGAATAAAAAATGTCGTCAACCATGTTTTGTAGATCTTCGGGTAAAAATCTTAATATTCAAAAGGCAATTTTAAAAAAATCGAAAAACGGTAGTCAACATTTCACAATCAAATTTCAGATAGTTAACAATCAAACATTGCTAATGAAAAACGATCTAGAGCAAAGTTCGGATATATTTATGTTTTGAGAGGCCGTAATATTTACGTTTTTTATTAAAATTTGGTATTGAACTATTATAAAAAAAAAAAAAAATACTACATTACGCTCAATTTTTTTTTTTTGAACAACCAAGTACGACTTATTATGAAATACCACGTCTAAAAAGGGCAAATATAAGTTTTCCGTCAAAATGTCTAGTCGTTAGGTACGAGTATTTTTAACTAAATTACAAAAAAAAATAAAATTGAAAATAATAAAACCGATATTTTCGTAAATTTTCCTTTTCTTTCTACGGTTTTTTTTCTGGTTTGCTCAATTATTAAAAAAAAACTACGTGGAAAATCAAAAATTGAAATTCGAACTCACCAATTAAATTCAAAATTCAACAAAAAAGGTGCCATTTTTCCAATGGAGCAATATTCATAGTCAAAAATATAGTTTTCAAAAATTAAAAACAATGAAATCGGTAACACCGTGATGTACCGTAAATTTGTCGTTTTACATAAAATTTCGTTTCCGGATTTTCCGATTATTTTGAAAACTCCTCGGAAAATCAAAAAAAAGACCTCTGTAATGTACCAACTAGATAAAATTGCTTTTCAGAATAGTTATTACACTATTTACGTTTCTTTTGAAAAACACATGCTATAGTAAAACCAATATATCCCACGCCATGCTCCGAATCTAAAATATATATTTCTAAAAAGCCGTTTTTCCTTACTTTACGAACGGCAACGCGAAATAATGATAATTGGGAACCGTAAAGACCCGTTCGTTCCGCAATATTCCTTCGACAATTACTTCACAAGTTTCCTCCGTCGGTAATTCCGGTATTCTAAAAAAGAAATAATTAAATCAATATTAAACACCAATCGACATAACATACCTATCGATAAAATATATTCAATTTAACCTCAATATACGTCTTCTCGATCTGTCCGTACAGTTAGCGATGAAATAGGGAGAAGCCGTTGTCGTAATTACGTCCGATTTCATTAATTTCAGTTCTCTCGTCAAGCTTTCCATCATGCCTGTACAATTAATATCAGATTATTGTATCAGCGAGTTATGCTTACGGTTCCAAAATGTTCGATGTTATTCGAAACAATATTATTGCGTTATTGTCTTTGGTCGTTATTATTAGATAAGGAACGGGTATATGAGAAATAGCGTAAGGCACATTGCTACCGCGGTGCACAAAATGAGAACAATTAGACTGAAATGTGGTTCGGGAATGTCTCGAGGAGAGAACAATAGGAAGCAGTAAATATGATAATTAAATAGACGCGGGAAGAAGAAAGAAAAAAGTAGATCGAAAAGAAATGGTTGGATGTGATTGGGAATAATATGAGGAGGACTGCTGGTGCATACGAAAATGTTATGGGAGATCGGGTTCAATGGAAGTGTCAAATAGCTAGGGCGAAAGGCGAGGAAAACGAAAAAGAATATTGTAATATTAATTACGATCATGATCATATTTGGAAATTATAACCTATTTTAAATCAATGACGAAAAAATAAAAAAAAAAGGAAATATTGTAACGGGAAGGAAATTTCGACTCTAGTGAAGGTGCTTTGCTGCTTCTCTTTTTTAATTGCATTAATTATTTTATCAAGAGTTATTAATATTCGAATGGCTATTCCGAATACCTGTTATCCACCGACCGGGTTGTTTTAAAAATTATAATAAATGTCTTGCTTTTCCTAATCGTTCACGGCCGAAAAATATTACGCCATATATAATTTAACGTTCTGCAGCCGTTTCTTTGTGTTCTCGAAATCGTGTGATAACATTTTAATTGCTTTAGCATCGCCTAGTCTCCCACTACAGTAATAATTTGCTGTAACCCATTTAATTCCTCTCAAGTATTTCTTATTAAATCCTCGGTTCATCACGGTTCATCTCAACAACAAAATGCTTCAATTCGTACGCGGCTCCGGAATCTCGAATACCGAGACATAAAATTTTCTCGCATATTCTGCAAAACCTCGGGCATGGACTACATTGTGTTGCTTTTTTATATCCTGCTCTGTTTTGTTCTGTACCGTTTTTCAAATGGCGATAAAAAGAATCACAATAATAAACGAGACAAAGAAAAAAATCTAAGTAACAAAAAAAAGCCAAATACCTACTGCTCATCTCACGGTATCTTGATACTTGAACCGTTCCTTATGTACAATATAATTATGCAACATGAAGGCATTTTCAAAAATTCGAACGTAAGGGGCGGGGGAGAGAACTAGTGCGGACAATTTTTGCCTCAAAATATAAAAATGTCTGGTTTCTATTGGTTACATGGGAGAAGAAAAATTGTTATTATTACTATATACACGTGTAAGATTGTTTCGTCAGATAAAATATTAAAACTAATAAACGGGCAATTTTTATAGAGTTCGAGATGAAAACTAAGAGAGCTGTTAAATTTAATTGTATTTTTTTATCGATTTTTAGTTGTTTTAGACATGATCGAAAACTGTGGGAATTTAGTTTATCATGGAAAACGCCGTGCGGGATCAGCTATAGTAACTAACTCGTATATTGATGTACCTAAATAATTATTTGATTGTTAAAAATAATAACTACACATGCCTATACATATCTGTAATAATGAGTCGCCGTAAAAATTCTATTACGTTAACTATTTTTTTTCTAAGTAAGGTCATACTATTGCACTATTTGAAAATAATTCGTTTACCGTTCAACGCGTACTTGGTTGCAGCGTACGTAAAATGAAATGTCAATCCTTTAAACGCCATTAACGAAGAAATCGTTACTATGTGGCCGCTGTTCCGCTCCAGCATCGACGGCAGTATCTCTCTGATTACCTATTGTGTACAAAGACCAACGAGTGAGAAATATACTTTGAGCCAGTGGCGTGGTTATCATTTTCGTACGTGGGGGTTGTAAGGGGGATCTAAATACAACTAGACGTAAGTATGTAGAAAGCCATTAAATATAATATTTTCGGTTAGACATTGGTTCAATATTGTAATGTGCATAATACCCAATACCTATTACCTCAAACATTACATCTCGTATTACAAATAACACAGCAAAATACTACGCTAATAACATTTAAATAATCAAGTAATAAAAAAAAAAAAAAATGGCCAAGAGGCATATAACGCTCTTGTCTCCGGTTGATCCAGCGAACACATCCGTGCTTTGATCGAACGGACGTGCATAGTATGTTTTACTACACGATTACGTTATTTTCTATGTCAGTTATGAATACGATAACACGAGAACGTGATAACAGAATATACGCATAGTCTTACCCAAATTTGGCCTAGTAAATTCGTATCGACTATGTCCTTTATAATTTGGTCTGCTTCCGGATTTACGAACAGCGTTGTCTCGATCACTGCGGCGTTGTTTATGAGAATGTCCACGGGTCCCATTTGGGCTCTCACAGCCGCGTGCATCTTTGTCACTTGTTCCTTATCGGTTATGTCCACCGTAAATCCGACCGCGCGCCCGCCTTCCTCCGTGATCCGCTCGACCGTTTCATTATTGCCCACCTCGTCCTTATCCACGCACGCGATTTTCGCGCCTAACCTGTGAAACTGCAACGCGAGTTCACGTCCGTTTCCTCGGCCAGTCCCGGTAATCTAGAATTTGAACGGAACCGCTTTCAATCATTATTATTCATCGTCCTTTATCCACATAAATATTATAATACGGTAATTTGTTACTGCCAATATTTGTAATAATATTATAATATGAAATTCGTATTAGATTTTGAATCTAATAAAATTCAACCTATATATCGATAAAAAAAAGGTTCGATTTAGATTTTCATTCGGTTAAGGAGGAATGTTTGACAGAAATATGCGTAGAAAAAATCAGTTTATATCTGTAATCAAGGATAAATGATCGCTAAAGAAAAACTACTCTGAGCAGAGTATTTTTAGCTGTATTTTTGCCCTTGTTGCCAAGGTGATCGAAAAATTTACAAAAAATTATTTTTTTTATTTATTAAGAAAACTTTAAGGGAAATAAAATAATGAATTACTTCATACATAGACTAGATAAAAAAAAAAGACGTCCTAGGATAATGGGGTCGGGTTCAGTCACTGTTGTAAGTAATTTAATGTATATCTGTAAGCAATGATAAACCATTACTAACGAAAAAATCTGAGCGCAGTTCAGTTGATAGTGATGCTTTGTCAATTTATTATATATGTATGTCATAATATGGTAAAAAAAATAAATGCCTATTTAATTATTTTACTATTGTATATTTACTTTAATAATATTTGTTTAATATTGTATCGGTTTTCCCGTTTTTTCTGCGTTTTACGCATTCACTGGAAAAACTCTTGGAAATCGAAAAACAATTTATATTAACTATCAACATATTAACTATATCAACAATTTTCGTCAAAGTTTGATATTAAAATTATTTTACAAAAAAAAATACAACATTAAACTTTATTTTTTTCGACCTCAAAGTAAGACTTAATGAATCGTCTGTTAAATTTTTAAGAATTTCTGTGGAATCTAACAATTTTAACACGCATTACCTACCAAATAAAAATTACTTACAAAATTCGCAAAATTAAAATGTCTTTAAATAGCTCAAAAATAACTTAAATTTTTTGAAAATTTTACCACGTCTAGAAATGACAAATATAATTATTTTGTTTTAATTTAAAATTGTCTATGAATATTTTTATATGAATTACAACAAATAACAAAATTGAAAAATAATAAAAACATTATTTTCGTACATTTCCCGTTTTTCTTACATTTTATCCTGGTATTTTCCAGATATTGTGAAAACCACTTGGAAAATCAAAAAATGACTTCCCATAAGTACTGTCTGTACAACATTCCCTTTTAGAAATGGTGCCACGTGGAAATATTTGAGCTAGATTTCTGGTCGAATTTTTGTACACAGTATAAAAAAAAAAAAATAAACATCTTAGTAAAACCAATACATTTAAAATTTATACTAGTTTTAAAATGCTACTGAATTTTTAGTTAGTGGACAATTTTTGATAGAACATTTGTTTATGGACTCGATTTTCTCAGAATCTAAAAAATTTGTAATTTTTACGGTTTCCTTCGTTCGAAAAATTAAAATAGTTAAATACGTACCAAAATTACATTTCCTTCGACACTTTTTGGTTCTTCTGGAAAATAAACGTACGAGATGATCGCCCCGATAGTTCTTGGAATACCCAAAAAAACCAATAATACTATTTCGAAAATAAAAGTTAACGGGTCCGCAGGAATCTTGAATTCTTCAAAAAAAACACTTAAAAGCGTGTACGTGAAACCCATTATATTAGAACTTAATACAACATAAGGACATTAAAATTTAAAATCTTTGGAACTAAAACTAAATATTTCAACGATGCTTTTACACTGAAAAAAATAAGTCGACAAGACTAAAAATATTAAAAATTGTATTTTGTTATAATACTGTCTGTGTCATTTAAATGATGAATAATAATTAGAAAAAAAACATAGTTTTAGAATGAAAAAATAGAGGCAGTTGTTACTAAATTCTAATCAATAGTATATATTTTTATCTTAAATATCCAACTAATTGGTTGGATACGTTAACAAATATTTATTACATTTCTGTGCGTATTAGGTTTTTAATAATATTAAAACTGTACGAAGAAGAGAAATATATTTATACCAAAATGTTTTTTAATAGTAGTAGGTAGATAGGTAGATAATATAATGAATATTCCGACAATGATTTGTTCCACATAAAACTGTCAGTATTTAGTCACTTTAGTATAGTTAGATATATTACGGTAATATTATTCTCTGCGGTATATTTTAAATAAGAATAATTTTCATGTCCTATGCGTAATGTTAACTGATGTAGAATAAATATTGCGGTAAAAGTTAAAAATAATTCAGAGTTGAGTAAATGTTTTTTATATACGTAAAAAAGGGCTTGCCCCGCGAATCAACCCCGAACCCAAAACCCGAACTAACCCGAATAGAATAATTCCACAAAACCCAAAACTCGAATTACAAAACCGATTGAAAAAATAAACACCGAATTAACCCTAAAACAAATCCGAATTAACCCGAATTGTTTTGGTTTTGACCTGAAATCAGAACTATTAAATCATATAAAATAAAACGGCATTAATATGTATGTATGTTTTGCAACTAAGATAATAGTTTGCATATTTTGCATATTTTACGAATATAGATGATTGTTATCTTATAATTGAATAGAATAATCACTTATCAATGACAGCAATCATTATTGGTTTGACGTTTAAAGTTGTTTAACTGATTTTCATTTTTATTTGATATTATTATGTAAATACGTGACTCAGTTTTTTTTTCTATCATTTGAATCAATTTTTTTTATTTATATTTTTTTATTGAAGTATAAATATGTAGAAATTATAATTGGAGTAAAATAAAATATAATGTAGTAATAATAGTTAATAATATCAATTATACACTATTCTGAAATATTTTAGGTTAGGGTAGATTTTTGGCTTTCTTAATCAAAAACTATAAGGAAATCATTTTTAGTCAAAGGAAGTATTGAACGGGAATTTTTTTTTAGTAGAAAAAAGACCAATTATTGATGTTTATCAATTTAAGAAACTATTTTTCATTATTTCAACTTAAAATATCAAATTTACATTGAAATGCTCTTGTTAAATAATCTCTTGATAATATTAGGTATATGACATAGGGTTTTTGTTGAACAACTGAATTACCTGATCGTAATCAGAAATATGTATTCATCTGAAACACCCGAATTAAGTCACCCAAATTTTCTTTCAACACTCGAAACCCGAATAAACGATTCAAGTGCAAAGGTTACACTTTACATAATAGTATATCGTTAAGATTCTCGTAAAGAAATTATTATAGAAATTAACCTACGTGAAAAAAAAAATAGAAAAAAATACCTCGTGTCATGTATTTCAAAATTACGAATGTAGAAAAGGATAGATGAAATATTTTTATATTTGCAAGTGACGATAAATTACACTACTCGAAAAACTGTTCAGATTTAAATTCAGTTAAACACGACGCGTTGTTAAACCTAATTTGGAAACCGAATTAATTTGTAACTCTTATAAAATAATTGTATCAAGTTTCTCAATGTACATAAGTAGTACATACCGATACCTATAATGTTGTCAACATACAATTAGGATTTTTTTAATTGAACTATTTGATTACATCCAGTGTCAACCTGGTTATGGTAGCTAGGTAACCGCCATCCCCCTCAATCTTTAGTTTTTTTATTAATTTATAAATAATCGACACATCAACAAACGAACGTATTTATTTCAAACAAAACAGACGATCGTTGATAACATAGTGTGATTGGCTCATTTTTAAAATTTTTTTCTTTTTACACGTAGCTTGGGCCCCTCAATATAATTACGTCTAAACATTTTAAAGACCAGGCCGACAACGGTTGTATCGGTTATTTCGGTTATTCAGTTTACTAATAATACTAATGGATACTATTTATTTATAACGTTTATTTGTACATCTACGCAGGGTTTTGGAAATAATCTTTATCGAGTGATTTTAACTTGTTGTCGATTAATCTTTTGAATAAATACGATGCGAATTTATATAGTTTGAATATCCATTCGGTTCATTTTTAATTTTCAAAACTTAAATTGTAAATGTTTTTTTGTTATATAGACGTGGCCGTGAATGATGTAGCATATTATACTAAGTATTTTACAGTACTATAACAATTTAATAATGCAGTTTTTATAATCGTTAAATACGGGTAAAGTAACTAATGCAATTTCAGTTAATGTAGTGTAATATTCTAAGTTTTAACAATAATATATCAGATTATCAGAATAATTTTCTTTTTTATACTGAAAATAACGGTGCATCGAATACAAATCGAAAATACCAAAAATACCAGTGTACCTTTTAGTACTAATATTAAACTTAACACTCAAATACACTGATACAGGTATTCATAATTTAATATGGCCAGCTCTAAGATGACGCTCACACAGTGGCATTTGCCATCTCTGTCTTTCTGTCGAGAAATTTAAAATCAACAATAAGGATTTAAAAAAAAAAGAAGATAAAACACTTAAGTAATACGTATACAATTTTTGGATGACAACACTCTAAAGACCTATTTATCGAAGTTATTCAATTTTCTAAATAAGTATTCAACTTGTCATTAAAAGTGCACAAATTCGTATTTAATATTATTTTTTCAACTTTTTAAATCCTATATATATATTATACATGTAAAAGATTATTTATTTGGATGTATGTTATCCAATCATGCTAAAAGTGCTTAACAGATTGCACTGAAATTTTGCGTATAATATATTATAATGTAGTTCTAGACCAGATATAACATAAATGCTACTTTTTCTCCCTTAAATTTAACTTTTAGGGGGCTTACACAGGGTTTTTGGTATTTTTGATTGGGTTATTTTGATGATACGAATGAAAAAAAAATTATGTAGTTCATGGATGCGTAGTAGAAATACGCAAAACGATTAATAGTTACCATAGAAACTGGTTACTTATAAAGTTCATTGTTAGATTGCATTTCTTTTGGTACGGTCAACGCCAGACAGAACAGCTAATATTTCAAAAAACACCAATGCGTAAAAATGTCACTTGTATTGCATATTTAACTGCTGAACGTCAGTATGTTTATTTTAGAAAAAATTCTATGTTATGATAACAGTTTATTTGTAATAATTGTTTTTTAAACGGAGTAAAATTTTATTTGACTCACGACTGTTATATTTTCTTTTTTGTACAATTTCACTAATAGATACCTACCTATTATTTCTATAGCTGTTAATCGACAGTCAATTAAATTAATTTTAATATACCTACTTTTCATTTAGTTTCCGTCGGGTATTAATGCGAAGTTGATGTTATCTCATCAATAATATATTTTTTTTTTTTCTATTTTTTACGATAATTTATAATATATGAAACATTTTTTAAAACGTTTAGTCTATGCACCGTTTTTATGTCAATTTTATTGTGATAATTTATTTAAAGCCAACATTGACAGAGCTATTATACGAGTAGACCTGATATTATAGACAAATATTAATCACAACCCATTAGTCATTTGAACACGTCCGTTATATTGTTTAGTATACAGCTGCAGAGGAGGTCACTATGGTTCTTTTTTTTTTTTTAACGGCATTCTGTTGAGGACAATATGTTTGTTATTATTTTTTCTTTTAAGATTTATACCGTACATCATACAGTTTTTACTTTTCCAGATAACACTAAATTGTTCGACCGGATGATTTTGGATTTGAATTACGTTTTTGGGAAGTAATAAGATATACTGAAATTCATACTTAAATGTAAATAAAATTTCAGTTTTTAACACTTCGGTGTGTAATTACAAATTACTTTTTTCGAACAGCGACATTTATTTTAGACAAAAGATTCGACTAGTCCTACTTTTTTCCAGTAACTTTATTTAATACAACTTTTTTCAATCTCAAAAATTACCTAAACTTCTGCTTTCTAAAATAGATTAAAAATATGATTTCAAAAAAAAAAAAAAAAACAGGATTATTCGATTTTAGTGTCAAAAATAGGCTACTCAATGAAAATGAATTTATGTTGCACATCAGGGCGCATCGAAAAAGTTAAGAAATTAAAATATATCCTAAAGTATGTATTTCAGTATCCCTTATCACCCTCCAAAAACGAAATTATAATTCAAGATTATCCGAGCCGTTTTATTTAATGTGAACTGGAGAATGTAATTGCAATGAATTATATATTTTTATTTACCGGTTTTGAGAGTATTGCATTAGAAGTCGCACGTGCAATATTTAAGGAGTTAAGTATCGGCAATCCTAACGAAAATTAAAAAAAGCTGAAAATGAATCAACTCAAAAGTATTATCCAAATTCATTTTCAAATTAATTTAAAATCTTATAAAAATCATTACAATTGGGAAATCTTTTTCAAACCACGATATTATGATTGTTGTTTAATTTATACTCAACAAAAAATACATATTCCAACAAAAACCGTATGTTTAAAAAATTTTCTTTATAAGAAACTATTTTTACTTGTTTTTTTTCATTATGCGATAAAAAAAAAAAATAGTTTTTTATAATGCGCGGTATGGAACAATATACAAAAAGATTTCGTCTCCCACAGTGTTTGTATAATATTTTGTCTGGTAGTTTACAGGAGCAATACGGTTTTACATTGTCCCCATGACTTCTAAAATGACAAATATCGTGGACATATTATTATTAACATAGATTTATTGTTATGATTGTTATGTATAAGGTTTTGTTCGCCGTATAGGAATTTAAATTTATATCTCGTCCGTATCGTTTAGATTTTTAAAAAGCGAGAGAGTAATGCGCATTATAGGTAATACTGTTAGAAAACACAAAAATGTTCAACTAGCTGCTTAGGTTTGGGTAAATATAATTCAATATCGTCCGTAAAGAAATCGAGAGATGTACATTTTGGAATTCTTCAGACTGCCGATACCTATCACAAAGCTCATCGCGACACTAGGGCACATAATTCGTGCAAACGTTCAACATTTTTATATTCTGGATTTTATGTTCGGTCCATTGTCGAATATTTCAATCCGTATTTATCGAGAATGTTTTTACCGATTGATTTCTTAATATAGTAATACCATATGATGGAACAGTTTTCTTTAGTTCACTAATAGATAAAAATGTTAACCATACATAATGGTGGTTTTTTTTCCCAACTCTAATTATCATTTAAACTAACGTGACAATAATGCCAATTGTTATACTTGTTTGAAACGACAAATATGTGGTTATCGTGTCGATTGAGATATTTTATACCAGTAATGACGAATCGTATGCGATCTGTAATCAGATTGACCAATTTCAACTAAACTATGTTTGAGTAACGTAACTATAAGTGTATTATACGTTTAGTTACCCAACTGGCATTACTATACTGTAAAAAAAAAAAAAAACCTAGGCTGTTAGTTTTAAAATATAAAACCTCCCGATTGTTTATAGTGTGTATTCACTTTCGTTCGCGTTAAGAAGTTGAGTGTTGACCGTGTTTTTACGTTTTTCACATTTCTTGCGTTCCAGCTGTACATACTAAACGTTTTAGTTATTTTACATACACGATAGAATGTTATTACGGAAAATCGTCATTTCATGTTAAAATGAATTTGGCATTGCATTTTCATTGAACATTTAATATTGTGTTTTTGGTAAAAATTTGAAAAAATAAATACTAACGTATTATACCTACACGTACAATACACATAATATTAGAATGTTCTTTAATCAACAGTTTATTTAAGCGCATCATATACATGCACATTACACCTGTTAACATAATAATATTATAATTCTTCGTCGGCGCAACATTAATGATAATATCACCAACATTATTCTCTCTGGTATTTCTTCAATATCTCATAGTCACTTTTACCATATCTATACGAACCGCCGAATAAATCTTGCGTGTAATACTGTAGATTACTCGGTAAAATCCTGTAAACATAATTTCGCGTACATTAATTTATTATTTACAATAGTTGTTCGTATGTGTAGGCTTGCTCTTTCAAATGCATTGCATATAAGTTACATCTTAGATGATAAATGGATAAATTTATGGTACAACTGTAACATTGCGATCGGGTGCAGTTCATCAATTCCTTACTTGTAAAACATAATCAGTAGATACAAATAGCTAGGCACCGTGAACACTTTTCTGTTCTTCAATATTCCGTCCACTATTTTATCGCAGCATATTCGAAGGGGAATCGCTGGGAAACTTGAATCAATAAAATCATATAACGTTTTCATTTTAAGTGAATTATACTTATAAATTAAAGACGGGCAATATACCGAATCTAAAAACGAGTACCTCTATACATAAATTGTTTTTAGAGTATCATATACTATGCGCAATATGATGCTTATGGAATAAAATCCCTCCTACTGTTCGAAAAATCATGATCTTTTTCATACTTTTAGTCCAAATCGGGTAATGACTCCTTTTTTGTTAAAGCTCTGAAACTAGCCAATTCAGTTTCCACTGCCATAGATTTCTTTAATACAACTCGTGATATTTTTAGATTTAAGTTTATTTTATTTTTTTAGAAAAGCAATATAAATTTAATTAGTCCTAGTATATCAATGTTTTCTTTAATATTTTCTTATATATACATATATATTTCTTTGTATTTTTGTTTGTTTTGCTTGTTTCTTATTGGAGATTAATTTCTATCTATCAACTATACATTTATAAATTTATATACTTTCTTATACTATTTTTATATATAATATTTTTCTCTTTTTTTCTATGTTTTTTTTTTCTTTTACACACAATTGGTCATTATATCACACTCTATATTATAAAAAGGCTAGCCTCGTTGAATTCTTAATACATAAATAATAGATACTCAGTACAGTACAATTCCTATTTCAATTATATCGTAACAGTGATGGCAGTCAAATGATTCTGTCATGACATGGGATAAAAATATTTTTAAGAACTATTATTGTTTATTTAATTTTTTAGATTCTGAGTGAAGCGGGAAATATAATTGGTTTTACAATGATGTTTATTTTGTTTACTGTGGACAATTATTTTTATCAGAAATTTTGCTCCAATTTTCAAGTGTAACATTTGTTCTGAAAGGAAATTTCTGATTGGAATAATACTTTAGGGAAGTCATTTTTTGATTTTCTTTTGGGTTTTTATAACAAAAGGTAAAACCCGAGAAGAAACGTAGGAAAAGCGAGACAATTTACGAAATGTATTATTTTCCAATCATCCATATTACGGCCTTTCAAAGCATGTATAACCGTACTCCACTCAGAATGGATTTTCGTTAGCAATGATTAATTGTTGCATACAATTAATAAACATGGTAATATATACATTTCGATAGCTTCAAGTATTCTATAGAACTGTGGTGAAATAATAATAATATATTCATCACGTTCAAAGCGTGTAACTTTAGCAATATTTGCAGCTGTTTCTGCGCTGCTTAATTTACATCCGGTAAACATATCTCAATAATATAATATATAGGTTTCTCGTAGTTAAACTTAAAACTTTTGGTCTGAATATTGAGTAGGTACTATATTTATACAAACCTGATATTTATGTTTTTAGTGATTTCGGTATTTGAATCCATAAAGTACGGGCACGCGGTGGTTAAGACGACTTTAGAATGCAACATATTCAGTTCTTGATCCAAAGATTCCATCATACCTTCAATAATGAATAAATATATGCGTAAACCAACTTTATGTATCCGAACAGATAAAAAAGTTTACTATAACTATGAAAATACAACTAATTTCGTGTTGGTAAATCTCACCCCATCTCCCCCTCACCCTCGTTAAAACAATCAATGGCCAGTGGAAAATGTCGTAATGTTTTAATTAAAAAAGCGAGGCAGAAAAATTTTAACTGAACCAAATTATAACTCTCTGGTAATACCGGGTGATTCTCGATTAAACACTCATTATTTCGAAAATGTTGACTATTTTTGACATTCTTGTTTTGACAACTTAAGAAACGAATAGTTCTAAAATGAATGTTTAACGACAACGTTATCGCTACATCATAACATTTACCCTAGGTATAATTTGATAAAATGTATGTGTGTACCTGTAACGCCCCATTTGGAAGCCACGTAAGCGGAAAGGGAATGGGTGCCGATCAGAGATATCAGCGACGAAATCGCCACAATCTGTCCGCTATTCCTGTCCAACATCGACGGAAGTATTTCTTTGTTCATCTGTACAAAAAAAAAAAAAAAAAAAAAAACCCCGTAAACGAGTTAAATTCAAAACGAAAAACTATAGGTCGTCTTTATAATATTATAATATACTCGCCCAAAACTGTGCCAACAAGTTGATATCGATTATTTCTTTTATCAACTTATCAGATTTTGGATTGACGTAAATGTTTTCCCGAACCACGGCCGCGTTATTCACCAGTATATCGATAGGACCGAAATCTGTTTTCACCGACTCATGCATCGATCTGATTTTTTCCCGGTCGGTGATGTCTAACGTGAAAGCCTTTACCGTGCCGCCGTCCCCACGAATCATTTCTGCCGTCACCGCATTACCGTCTCCATCGCGGTCCACGCAAACGATTTTCGCGCCCAGTCTGTGAAAGGCCAACGCGAGTTCACGGCCGAGTCCTCTGGCAGTTCCGGTGATCTATCACCATAAACATCGCGAGATCGTACATTTTTTTTTTCGTGCTATTTTATATATTTATTTTATTGCCAAACAGGTCTAAGCCTAAAAATAAGTACGAGAATATGATGTTTAAAAATTCAAACTAAAACTAAAACTAAATAATACATACACAATGATATTTGAAAAGCGAGAATCCTCATCAATGTGCCGCATGACGCGAATTAAAGTAGAATTTTGGAGACAATTTGAGGAAGAGATGGAAGTATAGTTATTCTTGTCTGGAACTCTAAAATTAATTAAGCAAAGTAACTTAAAGTAAATTTAGGAAAATGAAATTAAACTTGTTTACGGTCTGATAAGGAGGCAAAATCACCAAGAGGACAATGAATTTTAAGAGTGAAAGTACAAACCATAAAAATTTGCATTGCGCTCTTCCAAACATTTTAGAGTCGTTACAAATATAGAATATGGATTTAGATGGATTTTATTCGTACACTCGTTATTAACGTCTATCAAAAATAATAAATTGTTAATCTTACCAGTATCACTTGTCCGTTAACTTTTTTCCGTCTCGCAAGCAGACATTGAATTCCGGCCCATATGTAATTCGGCAACAAAATTAAAACCAACAAAATCAACGATCCAAATACTTTTACCGGGTCGTTGGGCATTTGAAAATTCTTATTATCTTCTGGCGGTTTTTCGGCATTTGAATATTTCATTTTGATTTAAATTTATGGCTAATATATTTATAACAGTTTAAAATATGAACAGTATAAATGGATTTAAATGACTGGCATTCGAAAGATCAAGCGAAATAATATAACAATAATAATTAAGTATCATTCTAGTACAGACGAGAAAAGCAATTATTATTTACATAATTTACAGGTCTAAATTTTGTAAGTTTCCTGATGCTAAATCACGTATATATTTTTCAGTAGTTCATAATACGCAAGAGTGTCAAACTTTTTTTTTTTTAACCTAGTGACTCAAAAACATTTGAAAAGCAATCCTTATATTATTATGACAATATTGTGACGAACTCCATTCAATACATATGTCTGTCTTGTATCTTTGATATAAATAAATAATAACATATGATACACGCACACATACACAAATATAAAAAAACAATTATGTTTAAAAAAAAAACCATTAGTTATTTTACTATAGGAAATTAAAATATGTATTACTTGTTTATATTGAAATCTATAATTTACGCTGTAATACATTTTTTGCAAAAAAATCAAGATAATATATATATATTTTTTAACAATCTACATTATTTATTTAGGTATCTACCTATAAAAATGAAAAAAATAAAAAATCGATTTCTAGCATTTCAAATACATTTCTATTATTTGCATTTATTCACACGATGAGTAGTTTTTTGAATTGCGAGAGGGATACTCAAATACTAATACTTATGACTATGGTTAATCCAAATTTGTCGGTACCGGGAAAAAAATTATCGAGACGTTGCAGTTTTTCATTACCTATACCTTTTATAAGTAACAAAATAATACTTTAATTTATTATATTTTACATAGTTTTTTTGTATATATACCTAAAACCTGATTTTTTTTTTTAAGAATTTAATAGAAGCACTTTAGAATTAAGGAAAAAAGACAACTTTGGCAAAAAAAAAAAAAAAAAATAGAAGTAATAATACACTGCGCTATGATAGTTCGTTGATGATGATCATTGAAGACTATATAGATAGATAGTAAGACTGGAAGAGGAAGTCCAAAAATGGAATATGTACCACAAATTATGATGATAATAATTTACAAGATCATAAAACATTTATTTAAATGCTAAATTGTATACAGTTAGTAATTAACATTTTTACCATTCACAATAATTTACATATTATTTATATTCAAATATATTATACCTCATGTTTTCAATCCATGAACAATCTGTAACGCACTCGAACATTGCATAGTATGTAATGGGATGGTAATATATTTCAAATTTTCTACTCTTAATAATATGAGAAAATACAATAACGTAGCTATTGTACTTCGCGTTACAAAAATCTGATTAGTGATTACTGATTATAATTAACGAAAATCGTATAAAAAAATTAAAAAAAAAAAAACATATTTCAAACTATTCGGAATAAAATATTAATAAACACCCAAAAAAAAAAAACCAAATAAAAGTGTTTTAACACTTTCTGAGTATTCTGTATATTAGATATTTAGAATATTTTATTCGGAATACCGTCCATTTCGGAGTAAATAAATAATCTCGCAATTCTCGTATACGTGACGGACGGCGAAACGCGTTGATGTACGCGGTACGTCGTATCGTCGGTTTTAACAAAATGTCTAATTACGTATAATAATAGTGATAATATTATTGATAATGAAAATTATAACACGGAAATGACGGAATCATTAAATGAGAAAGTTCGGTCAAATGACTATAAATAAACTTTGGTGTTTTATAACGATAGTAATGAATATTGATGACGGTCATTAAGATAATATTAATATCAATCGAGATTATATCGATGGAACGACACGATTGTTAAAATAGAGAATTTTGCCCCGAGAAGACGATAAAAAGATTTCGTTTCACGTAATACTGTTATAGAAATAATGGTGATTATAAATAGGGACTAAAATGATTACTGAAATAGAACGGCCGGTCAAAAAGACTTATTAACAAATTGAGTATTACTTACATGGTAACATTAACAAATGCACTGGCAATTATGAACTTAACAAGGGATTAAAAGGACCACGCGAATAGAAAGTTCGATCGACTAGATTATCAATTGAATATAATATTGTATTAAATAACAATGTCAATTATATAAAAAAAAAAAAAAACTTTTCGAAACATTTTTACGTACCCGTAAATCGTCTGACTAGAGTCTGATTTTAGATTCCGGGCGGAACGAGGAACGTATTGTTTTTACAATGGTGTTTTATTTTCAATTTTTTATGTGAACAATTTTTCTACCAGAAATTTTACTCCAGTCATCAAGTGCAGCAACACTTGATAATACATTTTTTTCTCAAAGAAAATCTTACTTGGACGGTACTATAAGAAAGTCATTTTTTGATTTTCCAAGTGAATGGGAAAAATCGGATAATTTACGAAACGTATTATTTTCAAACGGCAAATATTACGACCTTTCATAACATTGATAACCGAACTGCGTTTAAAATGGTTTTTCGTTATCAATGATTAATCGTTGCGTACAGATATCATACATTCAATTTCCCTTCTACCTTCACCTACCTTCGCAACTTCTCATCTACTACAGCGACTCACACATCGAGCAAAGTATGTCCGTTTTTTTTTTTTCAATCGACAAAATAGTCGATAAAAAATAAAAAAAAACACGACGCGAACGACACAATATCAAATATCCTCGACGTTTTCGACGTGCCTTTTTATCGGGCGTACTGTATTCTCGTTGTCCGTTATTGAGACGCAGGTATTGACATTCAAACGCAAACAACAATACCGGCCGGCAAACAAGTTGGGTTACCTATATAATGGGTCGCTCGGATCTAACGAGAGTGTATATTATTATTATTATTGTTATTTCTATCTCGTAAAATAGAAAACCTCCGACGAGAGCGAACAAATAAATAAAACAATTTTTCGACTTCTTCCGTCGTAAATTGTAATTCGAAATGTTGCTGTGAGTCATTTCAGTTTTTAAATCGTCCGTCCGGCCGTCGTTGTTTTTAAATTCTGAGCGCGGATGTATTGATTTTACACGATGTGCATTTTATTTTTTTTCTGCCGGTTAACAAATTTCCTACGAGAAATATTACTCCGATTTTCATGTTTACCGTCTTTTCTGATGGCGAATTTCGTCAAGTTGATTTCACTTGTGTTTCTGATAATAATAGTGAGAAAAACCGCGGAAAAATTACGGAAAAACTTTCGGAAATAACGGTTTCATTGATTTCAATTTTGTTTTTCGTCATAATTCGGCTTTAACAATAATCGTAGACGTCTGCAATTTTCACAGAATACTTACATTAGCTTCTTTATATTAGCTATACTTATGTATAACTATATATAAGGCGTGATTTTTTCATATTCAATTCTAATATATATATCTCTATAATACAGCATTATTTTCATGTACAAAAAAGTGCAGAGGCATTAACCTTATTAGTATACGATCGATTTATTCAAAATTCATAACAATATCTATATTTCAATTTTACTTCACAAGAAATACGATGGAATATCGTGCACGAATGTAAGATGATTCATAAAGAATTTATAGACTGTTTGAAGTTTGACTGTTTTTTTTTAGAAAGTTTGGTATTATTTTTAATAATTATTGACTGTTAGGGGATACATGACATGTTGTTAATCACAATTTATTAAATATTGGAATTCGTTATCTTACGCCACTGTCTTATAGTGTCATGTACCATGAATCTACTATGAGGGTAGCTTTAATAAATATATTAAATTATAAATATATACTTAACTATTAAATACCGGCAGTCATTTGCGCACCGTCCGTTTAAAATAGGTAGGTTGAAAAAAAATAATAAATAAATAAATAATAATAAAAAAATATTAAAAAGTACAAAGTCGCGATGCGTGACGATTTTTCTTTGGACACTTAATTAAACATAATTTTCCTGTCCATTAATGTTTTTTTTACCTATAATACATAAAGCGTGTATCATTTTTAAATTTGAATTTACACGTTTCAACGTTTTTAACATTTAACACAAACCTCACCGGTTCAAAGTTAAATATCGATTGTTAATAGTCATATCACCTAGATACGCCCAGTTATATTATTTGACAATATCTGGTTGGCTTGGGCCGTTGTTACAAATCAAGCGCGATTATCGATGTAATAATTATATATATATATATTATATTTTTAAAACAGAAATACCGTATACCTTTTATGCGTCCTACAATACTTATATTTAAAAACGATTTCTAGTGTTCGATACATTTGAAATTTATTTATACTGAATATGTAAACTGAAAGCCGAGGATCAATTTGTGGTTTCGGGTAATCCTAACACCTTTCAGCCCTCCGTCGTTAAACATTTTGATGCGCAAATGATTTACGCCTTTAAATACAGCGATCACGCTATTTTTCGTTTGTATTTGTTTATGATCGGATCGGCCGACGGTTCTGTGAGGATATTCACGTAAAATATATTTTTGAATAATGTTTGTAAATTGTCGGGTAACAACCTGTGAAAGAGAAAATGTGTTTTTTTTTTTTAATACCTATTTATAATACAATAATATTTGTTTTTAAGTGATGCATTTCAAAGCAAACAAGTGGGTAGTTTTTATACGCATACATATTATTATTATTTACCTTACTAACGAAAAACCGAACAACATGTGCCCGGGGACAGAGAATATTCTTTTTTCTTCCAGTATTCCTTTTACTATAATATCGCCGGCGGAATCCACAGATAATTCGGGAAACCTAAAAATAAAATTATTGATTTTTCTATTGTACATTAACACATTAATATGATGGTTTGCTTGGTAAATAAAAAAAAAAAAAAAAAAAAGGTATTTTAAAAGTAACTATATTACAATAATAGATTATAATTGTATAAACGTACCTGATATCTAATAACGCCGAAACTTTCGGATTAGTTTTGACAAAGTACGGCAATACCGTCGAGGTTTTTACGGCGGAATTGAATTCTTTCAACTCGTTGTCCAAACTTTCCATCATACCTGCAGAGTAAATAATAGTGTTTTTAAACGAAACGAACAAAAAAATTACCATCATCATTTTTTCACTATACATAATATCATTTATCCTATCGTGTGATGGTACAGTTTTATTAGATATAGGTATTTATCGTGATATTTGTATGCGTATTAAATTAGACTCCGACCGTAGGGAGGAATGTGTTAGTGTTACTACAACGCGCTTTCTTTTGTGTCTGTCAACAAGTTTTCTGCCTGGATGATTCGTTCCAATAAATAACTTAACAAAATGAATACTAATACTAAAACAATAATCGACATGTGAGGTGGTAACACTAATACGGCTGTTTTTAAATAAATATTATCTGCAGTATTAAAATTTATACGTGTTAAGATGCTTGCCAGGTTAAACGACCCTGTTATATAAATTTCGTTTTTGATTTAGACCACGAAAGTTTTTCAACAGATTTTAATTTTCATCTTTAAGATCGTGGTATTGTTTAATTTGTTTTTTTTGGATTACCTAAGAAAAAAAACAAATATCGAAATTAAAGCGCGTGTACGCAAGAGATTTCCCGTGGTTTTACATTTGCACGTACTGCAGCTGTGCGATAATCCGAAAGTGGAAAATAACATTATTCTTTTATTTATTTCTTTTTACCGTTGATACCCCATTTGGATGTAGTGTATGTGGTGATATTAGGCACTCCGGTTAACGAAGACATCGACGAAATGGCTACGATGTGCCCGCTGTTTCTTTCCATCATCGAAGGCAATATCTCTCGGTTCATCTACGAATAGAATAGTAAAATATTAGAGATTTTTTAGATTATAATAATATTATTGTCCACTCAGCTACTTGTAATATACGCGAACAATAGCCGGACAAAATTGGTTTTCGAAAAACGTACAAATCAAGTTTAGAAGCACGATAATAACGCACTTGAAAACAATAAATATAACAATGTATACGACATACGTATAATCGTACCCCTCGAATACAACGTAAACGTTTATAAGATATATTATTAGATAGTAAAATATCAAATAAATATTATTACATTTTTTTTTTTTTTTTTACAAACGTTGCAAAATATTGAAGTTACCAACATTATGTATACGTTACAAAGTAAATGTTCAGCAGGGTCTGAAGAAATGTTTTGATATGGACATATTTTTTTGAGATCAAACATTGTAAATACATTTTTAGTCCATTGGTTATAAACTTAATCTCGTTATTTATCTTCAAAAATATATTCATATGTTATTGAAAAACGGGTCTTTTTTCTTTTGCTCAACACTGACGAAAAAGTGAATCTAATATTCGAATATTAATGGACGATTGTGTCATAAATTATTGTATTATAAAAAATATATTTTACTGTTGACAATGCGGTTCGGTTCAATAGTTTCGTACATACCGTATAACTGTATCAACAAATCCAGATTAGCAACATAATCGATAGTGTTAAGGAAGTACGATAATCAGCGCGAAATTTATCATTGGGCGAATTAACGGTGGTATTTTATAGATATCTTGTATACGGTGGAAAAATAATAATAAATACAAGTTTGAACTTTGAACTTATTTTTTGAATAAAAAATGTGGTAAGAACAATCACTGTGAGTATTAACAAATATTTTTAACTTATATTCAATAAATAACATTTTTGTCGTACATTAATAATGAAAAAACGTACTCATTTTTAATTAATTAAATTAATAATTGTAATGTATAAAATTGTCCATTGATATTCGAATGTTAAACTAAACTGTGTCATTTGGCGGAAGAGGAAATGGTATGATTTTGACGGAAAAGAGAATCGACCAATTTTATGATTTGGCGGAAACGCGAATCGGCAGAAAAGGGAAAGGTACGTTTTTAAAGGAAACCGGCTATCCCTGATTTACATGGCGAGTATCAACCGGTACTCACCCAAATCTGTCCCAATAGATTTACGTTTATCTGATCGACGATGAACTGATCTTTGGATGGGTCAACGTACACATGACCCCACACAATACCGGCGTTATTGATCAGTACGTCTACCGGACCCACGTCCTCTTTTACCCGTTCGTGCAAAATTCGTATCTGATCCCTTTTGGAAACGTCACATCTATAGCTGATGGCCGTACCGCCGGCTTCTTGAATTAACCGTGCCGTCTCGTCGTTACCCTCTTCATCGACGTCCACGCACACTATTTTCGCGTTTAATTTGCTGAACTTCAGTGCCAGGTGACGGCCCAACCCTCGCGCAGCACCGGTGATCTAAAGGAAAAACATTATTATGTTTTGTATTTATTTTATTATTAGGGTATACCTATATTATTATTATTATTTTTTTGGAAATTTTTGAACCATTTATCGCCGTTTTTCTACGCGTTTCCTAATTATTAGGAATACTAAAAGAAGAATCAAAAAATGACCTCTTCAGTGCAATTTGCTTCCAGAAGAAACACTGTACTTGAAAATCGGAGCAATATTTACTAGTAGAAAGATAGATGAAAATCAGAGAACAGATAAAAAATCCTATATCATAATATAACTGTACATTATATACTATATATATATATATACATTCTAAGCTGAGCTCAGAATTTAAACGAAAAACGGAAAACAATTGTTTAATCTATAATAGTATTAATTATTTAAAATAAGTTTTCGACTTCAAATACAAATTTTTTTTATAAAATATTGAAAGTATAATACCGAGTAATTTCCGTAGAAGTAATTGCAGTACGTATATTTGATAAATTGTATTTAAATACTTTCACTCAAATATATTAGATGTCTGGTCAACACATATATTATATTGGTAACATTTTTCTGTTTTAGTCTACCTCTACGTGGAGCGGAATAAGAAAATAACCCATAAACGGCAGCGTGTTCCGTACTCGTTCGTATATAAATTTGTTATTTAAAATAAATTATCCGAACCCTTGATGTTTTTCGTTTAACCCGAACAGTGATATTTTTGATTACATTTAAATAAATATAGACCGCCTGCGGCTAGTGTAAGGCGTTCAAAGAAACATATTTTTTTATTCGATAATAACCAATAGGGGTTGTTTTTTATTTTTTTTTTTGAAATATTTCTCACATTCAATAAAGTAAAACACGAGCTTAGCTTAGATAACAATCATATTATTATAATTTATACAGGGTAGGGGCACTTTTTATTTGCATGGAATTCTCGATTTTTTTCTTTATTTACTGTTATGCATTTTTCTTACGAAGTTCCCTCTATCGGCCAAAATGTGTTTTGTAAGTACAAAAACCAATCAATTCGCGTCTCGTATGACGTTAAATTACACTGTTTTCACAATAAAATGTCCGTCCTTAGTACATAACCTTTAAAATGTAATGATAAATTTATAGTGTTTTCCGTTTACTCAGACTTTAGTGCCGTAAGTCGGATACAAGTGTTTTAGTGATGTGACGATTGTAAAATAATACAGTTTTTATAATAGGTGTAGCAGAAAATATAGATAATTCGAAATCAACTTTTTGTTGACCTTCGTGCATTTTATGTGTAAAATCGTTTAACTCGATTTGTTTGAATTAATCGTGTCATTACTATCTACTACATAAAAAAAAAACCCAACCTGTTCCGATGCGAATCGTTATGAAATCGCTATTAAATTTGATTTTCATGGTCGTAAAATATCGGTGAGCAGCACAGCTTCATCACTAGGGTAAAGTTTCCCTATATTTATTTGGTACTGTATACAATATGCATATTAGTAATTTTTAATATGTTTAAAACTTGGAAACTATGTACGCTTACGCAACGTAGGCGTATTTATAGGGGGGGGGTAGTTTAAACAGTTTCCCCTGGACAAGATTATCCGCCAACGTACTTTAAAACAATTTAAAGAAAATATAATTCAAAATATCAATTATTAAGTCACAGTGAGATAATAAGTGAGTTTGGTTCAAAAAGAACCAAGTAATAAGGTAATAATATATTTTTAAGCTTATAAGATGTGCGAGTGCTATAAGTTTTCACATCTCTAGTGAGGATCCCTAAAAAATAACGTTTTTCCTTCAACAACGAAAGAATCAAGTGCCTTAGGTGAGCAACGGTATGTAAGATATTATTTTATAGATATGGAAAATCCTTACACTAAGATCTTATTACATCAAAAACCATCATCCAATAATAATCATACGAGTATACGATACCTACTTCGTTTTATTCTAGACTCTAGAATGATATTTTTGTTCTTATAAACAATTTTTTAGAAATTAATGAAATTCCCTGGTCAATGTGTGTGTCAGTATGCACTGACGGCGCAGCTGCCCTTACTGGTTCAAAAAAAGGTTTTAAAGCTAAGGTTTTAGAAGTGTCTTCAAATATAATGTTTAACCATTGTATGATTCATAGAGAAGCTTTAGCTTCCAAAAAACTTCAACCAGATGTTAATAAAGTACTCCTTAATGCTATAAGTGTAATAAATTTTATAAAATCAAAGTCATTAAATTCCAGACTTTTTACTATACTTTGCAATGAAATGGGTTCTGACCATGAAAAATTGCTNCAATGTGTGTGTCACTGACGGCGCAGCTGCCCTTACTGGTTCAAAAAAAGGTTTTAAAGCTAAGATTTTAGAAGTGTCTTTAAATATAATGTTTAGCCATTGTATGATTCATTGAGAAGCTTTAGCTTCCAAAAAACTTCAACCAGATGTTAATAAAGTACTTCTTAATGCTATAAGTGTAATAAATTTTATAAAATCAAAGTCATTAAATTCCAGACTTTTTACTATACTTTGCAATGAAATGGGTTCTGACCATGAAAAATTGCTTCTTCATACTGAAGTAAGGTGGTTGTCTCGTGGTAAAATATTATCACGCCTTTCTGAACTCAGAGATGAAGCACGAATTTTTCTTCTGAAACGTAATGATAAACTTTCGGAACATTTTTTAAACGAGCAATGGCTTGCAATTCTGAGTTATCTTGCAGATATATTTGAAAAACTAAATTGTCTAAATTTAAGCCTACAAGGGAAAAATACTAATATTTTATTTCTTTCTGATTAAACCATGCTTTTAAAAAGAAAATTCTTCTGTGGAAAAATTATATCGACGATGACAAATTTGAAATGTTTTCATATTTATCAGAATTCCTCAGTGATTATGATGTGGATATTAATATGATAAAAGAAATTATAACTGCTCATCTAAGAAGTTTACAAACAAACTTTAATGCACGGTTTGAAGATTTCCCAGAAGAATTTAAAAATAAGCGAAGAACTAATTGTCATTTTAATATCAATGAAATAAAATTAGGAAATTTAAAAATAAGCGAAGAACTAATTGACTTGTCATCACATGAAAATCTACGTATCAGATTTCAAGAAATTGCATGTGATTCCATCAAATTTGAATATCCAGAATTATCAAAACAAGCCATATCAATTTTACTTCCTTTTGCATCAACTTATTTATGCGAAACAGCATTTTCAACACTAAAGATAATTAAAAACAAATATTTATAATATAAGACTTATACCCATAATTATCGGATCCAGACATTTTACCGCAACCGTTTAGCCACAGACCATTTTGCCGCTAATCATTTAACAGTAGTTTTAAACGTAGAAGGGTCGATGAGGGGATGGGCTGGGTCAACATTCTTTTACCAAACAAATGTGCTTTTTATGTTAAGAATGGTGGTTCAATAAAAATTGGACAGTTGAACTTAGTTCTTGAGTTATAGCGCTTTGAAATCAGTAGGTATACAACATGTGTGTTATTTTAAATAAAAAAAATACCTATTGCATTTTCCATTTATTGGTTGTCATAGTCTAGTGGTGATGCATACGAGGTCTGGCTATTAAATAACGAAACTGCTTATGAAAAATGGTTTTATTTTAAAAATTATTCTACAACCNGATTTAATTTATATGAATAAAATGTTTGTATACATTAAGACTATTAAGAAAATTTATATTATACACTTACATAATGTTGGTAAGAAGGGGGGTCGTATTATCAAAATAAATCATTTTGGGGGGTCGTGGATCAAAAAAGGTTGCGCACCACTGTTCTAGAAAACGGAAAACGGATAACATTCAAAAATGCAGCAGTAATGATAGGAAATGGCGAAACGCGTTTGAAATTGTCCGGACATTTTCTGGGTCGGGGGGCGTGGCTGCAATACCTAGATTTCTTGTCCATCAAAATAAAAAGAATCCACCACGGCGTTTATTTAGTCTGTAAAACTAGTAGCGCGTGCAAAGTGGGAGATTAGGAAGATGAGTCTCTATATTATATATTTCATAATAGGTAACTATTATTTATGCTACTTATTTAATTGCTCGACCTTTTGTTCAGAAAAACCGTAAATTTGTTGGCGCATAGTTAATACCAACATGTATCAACAAAACACGAAGTATGATTTGTATTGTTCAAAACGAAACGTGTCCAACCACTGTGCCGGGTATCCAGCCGCCAATAACAATAGTAATATAATATTTTATTATATTATAATTATTGTTTTACGCGATCGAAGCCGGATGCGTTTATTTTATCGAAATCATTAAAAAGATGATTATTGAAATATTATTGCGAAAAGGCCCGGAGGAAAACCAGTCAGACCAGTCAGTTCAAATAAAGTATCGTGTTATGTTTTGAAATACTCGTTTGCGTTTAATTGTTTGTACACGTTTATGTACGAACACGGTTTCCCGAGGTTACCTAGAGTTCTGTAATACCTATCCGGCGTTTCGATACCTATATATATACATGAATATATATACTCAATTACGAGCGATATAGTCGCAATACAGAACTGCCCAGTGCTACGATAAGGGAATCGGTGTTGGAACGTCGCCGCGCGCAAGGAGTAACATCGCCTCGGCCGTCCGGTTAGCAAAGCCAGCTACCGAAGTTGTTGATGTTAAAACGTCGATAACCCAAGGTTAGGTCTCGATCTATTTCCGTGTTTTGTTGCCGTATGCGGGCCGTAAAAAGAATCTTGCGTAACCGGCGACTGCATAAATGGAAATGGTCAGGCGCGTCACGTAGTTAGGTCCGCGGTTATCGTCGGACAATGATTGTAGTAATGCTAGTAACGTACTATTACAATTCGCGCACCGACAATGTTCCGCGGGAACACCTATGCCGGAGTACTATGCTGCAGGGTGTGTGTGTGTGTGTGTGTGTGTGTGTGTACCTTGCGCGGCATGAGCGTAATATTTTCCGTTTATATACTTAATATAAAACGAGAAATAATCAAGACGTGAGACTAATTGTGCTCCGCGAACGCGGTGGAAATTCAATCGTTTTTGCAACTCCCACAAAATACCGTTTTATCGGAAAGTCCGCGTAAGTTTTTCGCGGTTTATTTACGAATAAATTTGATTTGAATTCAGAGTACGGCAAAGTCGCCCGTGATTTCGTTTTAAACGGTGTATTATGATTTGTTTCGGATCGGCGACGGTGTAACGCGACAATCGTTCCATTTCGAGCGTTTCTAACCGTACGCCGAGAAAAAAAAATAAAAAAAAAAATATGGCCGCAGTGCTTGCTCCCGTTTCCCTAAACGTCCCACGAATGCCGAAAAGAGCCGGCGCTGTCCGGGGGTAACGTGCGTTTCACGCCGAATCGACGACGACACTGCGCGTAGCCCCCTAGATTACACTCGCGGTACTCACCAACACCACTTGTCCGGCGACGGATTTCCGTCTAGCCGGCAACAGTTTCCGCAGACCGGCCAACAGGATGCCCGGCACCAGCAACGCCGCGAACACCGCGATTTCCACGAGAAACTTGAGCGGTTCGGCGGGCAGGCCCGTCGGATCCGCCATGGCGACGAGACCGCGGCCGGCGTCGGTGTCGGCGCGCGCTCGTCCGGTCCCAGCAGTAGTGGCCGCCGGTAGGCAGTTATCCGGAATTCGCGTCGGCGGCGCGCGTCGTTCGAACGTGTCGCAACGGCCCCGTAGACGTGACGCGGACGGCGGAACGAGACTGAAACGCGAGATGCGACGACGTGTGCCTGCGACGGAAACAGACCTTGGCTACGGAGGTTGTGGAGCGAACAGGTCCGACGGCGGCGGCGTGGACGCCTTGAGATCGATATTGTTTTACCGTAATAACCGTTCTGGCAGCGCGTGTCTTTCGGCCTCCGGTGAAAGTCGGACGGCGCACGCGGATCATATCGCAATCTAATTATAATCGTGTCGATTAGATTATTATTATTTTTTTTTTTTTGTCGCGCCGGCGTTGTTTCGCGTATGCCGCGGCCGCGTAAATGTAACGGGTGTACATAGAAAAAACAAAAACGTACCGCATCCGAACGGCCGCCTACCCGACGGCGGCCGAACCTCGGGCAGACGATAAGGCGAATTAGGAAGCGAGACCGAGTTGGGACCGCGCTTTGATGCGTCGTCACGCACCCGGTAGCAGCTCTTTTCTTTTTTATTTTTACTCTAGAGAAATACATTGTTTCGCCGCCGAAATATCCTTTCTCCAAAATGACCGGACACCGACTGGTGCCGTTACAGTATATTGTTTTTTGTTTTTTTTTTTTTTTTCTATATATACAATTAGAATATTTCGAACGTGCGTCCGTGATATTTGCACTATGCAAAGGTATACACAATTTCATTCTCCTGGCTTCTTTGGGAGGTTAGTAGGGCTGTACAAACTTAAAAAACACCCTTCTTCTAACATAGCATAGCGAAGCTAAAAGTAGAAATTAAGTAGTTTTCAACTTCAGTCTGTCTATAAAAAAAATTATGAAATATTATTTTTTTATTGTTAAAAATTGAATTGTTTTCTCTTAGAATCAACTGTTTAGGGAATTTATACTTTACACGAAAAATTTCTCAACTTTTCTCAACGATAATTATTGATCCTTAAATATTGTACAATTACACTGCACCGTCACTTACGCGTTGAACATACCTCTCCGGTCTCCGGTCTCCCTGACGAATTACATTATCAATCATTCGGATTATTTTCGTCAATCCCGGCAGACGAGTCATCAAATCGATACCATAAATCTTCGATTTTACATATTACTTTAAAACTGGTCTTAAGAATTATTCTAAAACGACACGGGTCCGGATTTTCATAAACGCCAGAAAGTTCAATTAGGTTTTTAATCTGTATGTTAAAATTATGTAATTAGCAATAAATATTAACGGTTTAAAAATAAAGTTTTTATGATACCGTTAAAATAATTCGGCCCTTTATAGTGCAGAATATCGGAACCCTAAACAAGAATTAGTAGTTGTATACAGTGTTTTTACCTGTAGGTGTACCGAGAAAATATTTAATTTTTTCTTTTTTACATTTACGGCACGTTTAACGATAAAACAATACAAATATATTTAAAAAAGAAACTTTGATTCTTTTAATACACAGGGTGCCCTACAGTGTTATATGATCGTTATATAACGTTATTATTATTATTTTTTTTTTCATTCAATTGGGTTTCGGGTCAGCGGGACACATAATACGCAGAGAAAAATAATTTTTTTTTTTCGTCACTTGTGCACTGAAAAACATAAATTTATTTGTTCACTTTTTAAAACGTTTGAAACAGCCGTTTCGTAAAAAATATTATTTTAAAAATTTGAATGTAACGTACATTCATGTCCGATCAACAGTGTCTGTGCAACAGCGTGAAAACATTTAGTTTTCAATAAAACGACACGGTACGCGATAAGGAATCACGATCGCCACGCTAACATTGTATTCCGTGCGCAACAAAGTTTCAACACATACAATCTCTACGTTAATACGCGCGTTCCGTCAAAACTTAGAAAAAAAGTACCGTAGGTATTTACGCGATTATTATATTACAATTATTATTATATGGGTATACAGTTTAAAATAATTGTTGGTAATAACGTTGATTGGTGATTTTTTTTTTTTTTTATGACTTTATATAACTATTAATCATTATGATGTTGTTACAAAGGCACCCGACGGTTCCGCCTCCTGAAAATATTGAAATGAGGTCATCCTGGTTCTGCCCTTTGGAACCGAGTGGTTACTCATTTAAAAGTGTAACTAGGCACGTACAAAAATATGCGTATTGTACGGCTAATCAAAACGTACATAACGGTTTACGAAAATTCAACGTATAATATATTTATCGAAATCTGCAAAATAATGAAACGTGTACCTATCGTGTTATTGTAGAATATACTGAAATCGAAACGGAATGTACTAGTACTCAACAGGAGAGTTACAAAATATTTATAGTTGAGTTTGTATTTTCGCCACGCGTTCTTGGTTCGCGGTACATCTTCGGATAATTGGCGGAATCGACGAGTTGTTTTAGAACCGCCCGTATAAGGCGGTATCATATGTACAGCGGCGGATTCAGAATTTTTTTTTTTTTTTTACAGAGGGGCACATTATTTATATGTTCACTAAACTAATTATGAATTATACATTAAACGAATATAAAATAAACTAATAAAAACAGTAGTCCGTCGACAACGGAGGCACGTGTTCCATGTGCCCTCTCCCCGGATCCCCCGGATGTCTATGTAACTTTTCTTCTGATAAAAAAACTGAAAAAAAAAAAAAAAAAAAAAAAAAAAAAAAACGTCTGTGGAATCGATGAATCCCCTCGCCCAAGTAAACAACGTTAAAACTGTACATTAATACGATACCGAGAATAATAGAAAAATTATAATAAACCCGTACAGGACGATCCGTTCGTTTGACTACAATCAATACTTCGAAAATTATTGACTTTAAAATTTTTTTTTTTTTTTTAAAAAAAACGAGGGACTCTAAAATGTTAAATTAATTTGTTTTCGCTTTTATTTTCGGTTTTCAAATGGCAATCTGTACGTAAAAAAAAAAAAATGCTATCAATAGTATAGTATAATGCGGTTTATAGTGGAGCGTCATATGTGCGGAAACTTTAATGTAGACGGCCGTTGGAAAATCAGCAGTCGTTCCGTCCCCGAAATTAAGGTTGACCAAAAATAGTACAAACGTGTATGACAGAAGTCGATACATTTCGAAATATCGAGTGCACTCGCCAAAACGAATCGCGTGGTACAATAGACAATAATACTATTTTCGTTCGGTATTCCGATTCTTGCAGTATTTGTTTAAAATCAATTGGTCCGTAGCGTCCGGCACTAATCTCACGTAAAATATATTGTTTATTAACGTCTGTACGCTGTCGGGCAAACATCTGCAAGTGAAACAATAAAAACAATATTTCAATACCGATAAAGAAAAAAAAAAAAAAAAAACGTTTTGCGCGTATAATTTGTGGATGTCCGAAACGCGATGTTTTTTTTTGTTTTTGTTTTTTTGTTTTGTTTTAATACGTACCTCATGAGCGCGATCAACGTGAACATGTAACCGGGAACCGAGAACTGTCTTTTTTCTTCCAGGATTCCGTTTACGATATCGCGAGCCGCTGCGGTTTTCGATAGTTCCGGAATTCTAAACACACACACACACACACACACACACACACATTACCGTACGTATATTATGTCGTCCCCGTTTGTTAATTTACTTTCGCGATATATCGTCCGCGACGGCGCCGGGGGGAGGGGGACGTTTAAAGGAATGACGTACCGCGTATTATACGGACAGATGTTATTTATATTAGGCGCGTACGTTACGGAGCTCGGACATTTTTCGTATACCTGAGATGTAATTTCGCCGAAAATTTCGGGTTGGTCTCCACAAAGTACGGCAATACGTTTGTCGTCTTCACCGCGGAATTGAATTCTTTCAACTCGTTGTGCAAACATTCCATCATACCTGTAGCGTCACGGAAACGTAATATTAAATCGCGCGTGAAACCGAAAATGGTTAAACTAAAATCTAATAATTATCTTATCGGATTCTGTATGCGTGTATAGAAATAAAAGCGATGAGCTGTTGCAGTCTTTCGAGCCGTTGTCGGAAGAAAGTCTCGTCCCGGGGGCGTTATAATACGAATGTAATAGATAAAAAGTCGAAATAAACGACGGATGTGAAAATTAATTTCTATTACTTCGAGTTCCTCAGTTGTTAAAAATAAAATGCTGGAAAATGGCCAATAAATTTTTTTGTCCGACGGAATTAAAAAACAGCTTATTGTAAACGAACGTTACTGATTAATACTTTTGCAGATTTTGCATATTGCAGTATTATTTGTATAGAACTGTTGAACGTTGAAACTTTTCGTTTATACACATTCATTATGTACGAGCGATAATATTATTTAATACCGTCGTTGAAAACGATTAAATACAAACCTTTTGGACCTTTTGGACTTTTATTGAAATTGTTTGAAAAATCTCGATTGAACGTTTATGCATTTAATATTAAAGGTATTTAAAAAAAAAAAAATAAATATTTGGTGGAAATGTGAAACACAATGCGAATATTTTATATTGTATTTCAGTTAGTAAATCGTATAATGTCGCAGTTAGTATAAATATTATTACTTGACGTTTTCGTACGAGGAAAGTCATCCATTATTTATTTAGACCAGCAGGTATAAATAATACATTTAAAGAGGTTTTTATAGTAATTTTCTTGTGCGGACCTTTAATATTTTTCGTAGGGTTTTGATAAATCGACATTATTACACCGAGCTCTCAATTGTAATAAATGTATTGTATTCATATAATTTTTAATCTGATACGATAACTTATCGATTGCAGCATATTATAAAACGAATAGAGAAACACCGTTTTAGTTACTAAATGGGTCACTGGACAATGGTGTTCACTGACTTTTAGATTCCGAGTGTAGCGATGGAGCTTTCGGTTTTACAATGCTGTTTGTTATTAATTATTTTTTCTAGCCTGTGGACACGTTTTACGTTTACATTTAAATATTACGGATGGATAAAAAATAGGTTTTGTGGTACCAAATAAGAACGCTTCAGTATAAACGTGAAAATATAACTACCTAATGATTTATTATAAAACGATACCTTTCAGCATTACAATACCTCTTCAATACCATATGTTTAGGTACCTATATAGGCGAGCGAAACAAGTTTCTAATGTATTCATGACCTTTTCAAACGTATAGGTAAATGTAATAATGTCTCTCGAATAGAACAAGGACAATTTTATTGTATTCTGTTAATTGTGTACACTGTACAACCAAAAGAGAAACGTTTCGCTGTGGTAAATTTCCGCGATCGTTAGTCTGACGACACGCACTAAGGGATTTTACTGTACGATTTATCTATTATATTACACGAGAGACATTGGTTATCGAATAGTTTCTTTATTTTTTTTTTTTACCGCTGGTTCCCCATTTCGTAATCGTGTACGTAGAAAATCCAGACACGCCGGCCATCGACGACAACGAGGATATGGCCACGATATGCCCGCTGTTTCTCTCCAGCATCGACGGGAGTATTTCTCGGTTCATCTGCACAATCGACAATACAACATTATACTATAACGACGTCGTTAAATTTTATTCCTATTGTTTTAACAGTTCTTTGATTCGTTGTACAGCGTGATTATTTTAAAATGGAACCGACGATTATCGACGAAGCTATTAATAATAATTATTATTATCATTAATAATAATATTTTCGAAATGTATATACTACTGTCCCGCACACCGTAAACACATCGATATGTAAATAGCGATCCACGGGAGTTTTTTTTTTCTCAACGCGGATTCAAACAACCTCTCGGTAGTCAATAGACATAAGTCTGTTTTCCCGACTGTTCGTTTTCCAGTGACACGTTCCCCGAACTTTTATTTTCCGGTGATTTATTTTCTCAATATCACAAAAAAAAATTAAAAACCTAATTATCTTTAAACGACGTACTTTTAACAAATGTGAGTGCAATAATATAATACGTATGCACTACTGTTCAAAGTATTTTGTTATCGATTGTTCTCGATCGAGTCGGCAAATATTTGCTCTACGATATTGACTCCGCCCGGAGCGGGAATTTATTTATGGATAAATTGAATTGGGCACGTTTTATTTGGTGAATATTGAAGAATATTATATTTCAGCAGTGTTTGGGTAATTTGAGTATTTGTGAAATATCACAATTTAATAACGCTTGTATCTCGTTTGAAAATTCAAATATCGAACAAACAGCGCCACCGTTGCACACCTAATGTTTTTATCTATAAGTTTGATATTGGGTCGATTTATTTTAATATTAAAATAAAAAAAAAAAAAAACACTACACAGTTGTTTCTATCGAACGTAAATTTCGAGTGCAGTGCGTTTTGTAAGGAGGCAGCGCCCGCGGGTTTCACAACCTCTTATCATATTTTAAAATCTAAACGTCTTGACGTGTTTGTGCCACGTGCGACGTACGAATTAACGGTATATGCGAATTTCGAAAATATTGCTAACGAACACCGTACGATTTAAATTTGTACTACGCTCGTTTGGCATTTTTTAACGTTTAGTACTGATAGACGTAGTTTGGCGATGCGGTTTTCAGCGAACGGTCTGCTACATTGTTTGCTAATTGTCGGCAGTTGACACAATACCGCCAAAGCGTTTTGCTCGCCAGTACAGTGTTTGATCAACGGATCGAGTGAAACCGGTAACCGAAGACGGTAAACGTAGTTTTTAATTGTTTACCGGTTCAGGTAACCGGGTGATCGAAAAACGCGTTCAGTTCTCGGTTCGACTTTTCGTCCTTGAGTACACAAAGAAATCCGTTCGGTTCCTCCTCGTTCGTTCAGTGCGCGTCGCGTTTTGAAAATTCAGTAAATTCAGAATATGTATCGCCGTGAAATCATTGTAGAATAAAAACGCATTTCCGAGAAGAACAAACGAATTACGCCGTTCGAATCTAATCAACACGGATAAGGTATAAACGCTCTGGGAACGATGATTCGCTTTAAACACTTCAGACTAGTGACCGGGCTTCTAAAAACCGCGAACCGCGCTCGACGACCCGAAAAATAAATTGCCTATACCACGCCGCACAACAGTGAATTAATATTGTTAATAAAAATGTTGCCGACGGTTTGTGTCCGGCGACCGGACGCGTCAACACCCACCCAGATCTGTGCCATAAGGTTCACGTTCATTTGATCGACGATGAATTGATCCTTGGCTGGGTCGACGTACAGGTGGCCCCACACGATGCCGGCGTTGTTAATCAGCACGTCTACCGGACCCACGTCGTTTCTGACGCGTTCGTGCAAAGTTTTTATGTTTTCCGTTTTAGTAACGTCGCATTCGTAGCTGGCGGCGGCGCCTCCGGTCTCCCTGATCGCCCGTGCCGTGTCGTCGTTGCCCCGTCCGTCCACGTCCACGCACACGGTTTTCGCACCCAACTCGGCGAACCGAAACGCGATTTCACGGCCCAACCCTCGGGCGGCGCCAGTGATCTGGTGGGGGAAAAAAAAAAAACCGACAATTTATTCCGCTATAATTCTTATGTTATTTGAACATTGTATGATATAGATAGAGATGTAAGTTTGACAATTTCCAATAAATCCAACATTTTTTTTCTCTACTGAAATTTTCAACTTTCTTTGAAAATTTGAATTTTAATGTAATTTTCTTAACGTAATATAATTGTTGAGGTTGTTTGATGAGTATCGTTACACCGCAGTTATTTATATTGTTGTTTATCAATACTTGAATCTAATATAAATTTTAAAAAAATGTCTATTTTATTACACGCGTTACGAAAAAGCGTGGCGAATGTAACCAGAATGTATAACCATGTTGTTATTTTTTTTTCTTCAAAATTGTTATAAAGTTAAATTTTTATTTTTTAAATATAAATTAAACGACTATGAATATCAATTATAATTTATAAATAGTTGTGACTCGTATTAAAATGTAATTTTGTAATTATTATAATAGTACCTACTTATAATAACGGATATCTACTCATAAAAAGTATTTAGTGAATAATTGTGAAAATAACAAAAAAATTAATAAGAAAAATAGAAAAATTAATAAACAGTAAAACAATGTTAACACAATTAACGAATCAACATTTATACTGAAGTAACAATACAACATTTTCAATAATAAATAAAAATGTACATTTATTACTGAAATAAATTTATTTTTTATTGTGGACATCTTATATTATGTTCGATAGATTTGTACCAAAATAAAATTAAAATAGGTACATGATAATATAAGTACATAGTTTTAAATATATTTATGGAGGTTAAATATACTAGGTATAACTTCATAATATCAAAGGAATTTATTTGATAAGAAATCAATATGAAAAATTATAAAATTCTCATGATTATCAACTTTTTAAAATTGTTCATATGTTCATATTTACACTATATGTCCCTACCCCATTTCAAATTTTCAACTATTTCCAACGCCAATAACTGGTGCTCTATTCCTGCCAATTCCTGCCACCACTCCCGGAATTCCTAATCAATATGTAATTATAAATCCCGTTTGAATGTATTGTATACACGATATTGTACACTCTATGCAGAGTCGATCTTTTATACAAATGTTATAGTAGTTAATCCTTTGTCCTGTAGTCTACATGAAGGGTACAAATAGGAAATATGCCTTAGGCGCTCAAGGTAAAAATTATTAGAAACCAAGTTCAAAAAAAAAAAACAACAGTGATCTACATATTTATTTTTTTTTGTATTTATTTAAAAAAAGTATTCGTATTAAATGCAATTTGTTTATAAAATATATTGATTAGATACCAATTTATTGTTATCAAGTTATTTTAATTTTTATATTTGTATGCGATGATAAATACGAAATACGATTTTGAGCGAAGTTTGGTTGATCATGTTTTAAAATTTCGTGATTTTTACGATTAAAATGCTATAAATAGTTCAAAAATCGCCAGTATTTTACAATTTTGACCGCGTCTAGAAAATACTAACATAAAAGTGTTCTGTGTTATGTAACTCAGGTCACTACGATTATTTTTAACAGAATTACAAAAACAAACAAAATCAAAACGAACGAAATCGTTTTCACCGTAAACTTTCCTGTTTTTCATACTTTTTCCCAATTATTACGAAAACTTCAAACGATATCAGCAAATGCAGACCTAAACCTCAGTGCAACCAACTGGGTGCAAATCACTTTCAAAAATATGGTACATTTGGAGAAACATTGCTGATGGAAAAGTTAACAGTACACTACTCGCTGCGTTCGGAATTTAAACTTATAATAGGTACCGCCAGTAAAATAGTGTACCTACACATTAATGATATTAAAGATAACCATGCGTGCAATAAAAACGATGATTACTATATTATAACTTATCTGTAAAATTATATAATATATAGGTGTTATAGATAGTATAATTCGAAGTCGACTACTCACCAGGACGATTTGTCCTTTGATGGACTTTCGCTTAGCGGGGAAAAAGTTTTTCAGGCAGCCCCACAAAATTCCCGGCACCAACAAGACCAACAAGAAAAACGTTAACTCGAAGAAGAACTTCACCGGTTGCGATGGCAACGACATCGCGTTACTGACTGGGTGTAGAACTCTTGCCGGACAAGATACAATACGTATTTAGGAGCGTAAAATAAATAATGATCGCGGTTCGGCGGCAGCGGCAACAGTACAATAGTAACGATAGAAAATGTGTGTCACGCATACAGCAGAGAAAACGATAACTACACTATATACAGGGTGATTTTTTTTTTCACCAACCAACGGTAGCCTATGGAATTTATGAATACTTATAGGTAAATTTGATTCCACTTTTTTTTTCCCAGACAAATTATAGGATTTTTTCACGGTGTTATTTCCAACAGTTTACGAGACTATATCATATTTACATAGGTACCTACACCATAAACACATTAATATTATACAATTTATATCCGATTTTCAAATAGAAATCCATATTACAATAACTATCTCTACAGACTTTAAATTGGGGGCTTGGCTTTAGGGAAACAGGATTGTTTAAAAACGCGGATACGAAACGTATTGTCAAAATCAAATTCATTAGAAATCTTCTTATAGTAACACGGGTTCACGGTAAAAGTATTTCTTTGTATATTAATAAAGACGGAATATGACTCGTGGCGAACACACGTGGCGACGGGTCGGCTGGATTGGATTATAATATGCACCTTGATTACGATATCCACCATTTGAAAGACGGAACAATGGGACAACTCGGCGTGTAAATTTGAATGTGTTTTACCTATTTTAACCGAAATCCTGTGCTCGGTGAATTGTATGCAACAAGTTATAATACGGAGTGATTTTCTTTGTCATGAATCAGCAATAATTATCTCGGATGATTTTAAGAGAATTTTATTCTGTTAATTTTATTCATTGTAAAAAATCGTTTAGGCTTTATTTTAAAACCATTTTAATTTTTTTATCCCTGTTCCATATATCTTATGTAAGTAAATATTTTTGTAATCTGTATAGGAATCCTTATTTTTGGACACAGATTCGAATAGAGAATATTTTTTTTGAGAAATTTCGGTATGCATAATACGAATATTAAATTTACCGTTTACGAGTTATTACCGGTTAAATTTTAAGTTTATACCGGAGAAGTAGGGAAGGACAATAAATTTCCTATTTATCATTAAATGATAAATTGATAATTAGGTATTCCAAAATGATTAAAAAAAAAAAAAATCAAATTAACTTAAAATCCTCCGAGGTAATTTCTATGACAAAAAGAAAATCACTCTGTATAACATAAAAACCTGAATGATTCGTCTAATATAAACACACCAAACGTAGGCTTTTTAACAAACAAACACGTCTGTTTGAATGTATGCAAAATTTAACAAAAAAAATGGGATGAGCACGCTTAACCAATCACTCTGTATATAATAAAAAAAATTAGGCAGAGAGATCAGTGGATAATGTCTATTGTGTCGGCATCGGTACATTATGCTACTAGATTGTAGTGATACAACTAGAATCAAAATTTTGCTAGGAATGTTCTTGATTTCACTATGACATTTTTAGAAAAAAATGATACTAAATTTTTTTTACATCTATATTTCATACTTGCATTTATTAAAAATACTATAATAAATTAAGGTTAGGTAAATTAAAAATATATTAGATATATTATTTAACATGTCAGTTGTAAAACGGTGAAAAGACAGAATGACAAATGATGTATTGAGGCTAAGAGTAAATTATGGAGAACACCTAGCTCAAGATAGAGATTAGTGGAGGCAGGTGGTTATTGCAACAATGGACCTTAATGGCCCGTAAAAGCCTTAAAAAAAAAAAAATTTACCGAATTTCCCGGTTTTCCTTACAGAATAGGTGTTACATTTAAAATGTGGATACATTTATCAGTATGTTAACGTATATCACACTGATATACATTAAATTTCCTTCTGTATCCTACCTTACTAAATTTCCAACATACAACAATAGTTGCACCCATGTGCGAAATATGTCCGTCTTATCTTAATTTTGTGTACATGTGTGTGTGTGTGTGTTTTTAATATTCAACTAAAAATCGAAAACCCAAATGATATCAAATCACGTCTTCGGCACTTGCTCACCCAGATCTGCCCCATCAGGTTTACGTTTATAATGTCCGTGATAAACTGGTCGTTTTCTGGATACGAAAACGCGGCCGCCAACAACAAAGCGGCGTTATTGATCAGTATGTCTACGGCGCCAATTTCGTCTCTAATCCGTCGGTGCACATCCTTAATCTAGAGACGTCACATTTGTAGCTTACGGCAACGCTTCCCGATTTTTCTATCAACCGTACCGTTTCGTCACAACCTGTTTTGTTGATGTCCAAGCACGCTAGTTTTGCGCCTGGTTCGCCAAAAATCAACGCCGTTTTTCGGCCTATTCCTTAGGCTGCACCAGTGATTACATAATATTAAAATTAAAGTTGAATCACAATGCCTAATAAAACCCTAACCAATGCTTTGATACCTTAAAAGTTCTAAATACTGCACTAAATATTTGATTTATTTTTTATACTTTTTGCATTTAATTAATAATATTGAAATATAAATGATACATTTCTGTTATTTTTTTAAACTCTAAGTTTAACAAAGAATGTTTTAGTTATACAAAGATGTTTATTTGTTTATATTTTTTTTTATGTAAACACTTTTTCTACCAGAAAACTTACTCCTTTATTTTTTTCTAAAAAACCTTGAAAAGGTAATTTTTTGTAAATCTATTAATATTCGAGATAATGAAAAAAACTGGTTCTTTAGATTAAAAAAAAATGGAAAGATTTTAAAAATAAGGTTGCCAATGTGGCAATCATTTTTATTTATTTTTTCTTATTATCAATTTTTTATTATTTTAATCTTTTTTAAACGTACATTATTGTCATGGAAACGCACATTGTTGTATTAATTTTAACATAATATGACATATATATTGTTGACAAAGCAACACTATCAACTGAACTCCAATCGGAATCGTTTTTTCGTTAGCAATGGTTTATCGTTGCTTACAGATATAAATTGAATTTCCCTCTATATCCTACTTTTCCAACTTCCCACCTACAACAGTGGCTGCACTCACGTGTGAAGTATGTTCGTCCTATTTTTTGTTTTATTTTAGTTCGCAGTATGATATTTATCTATTGCTCATAAATGTTATGTCACATACAACAACAAAAAAAAAAAAAAATTCAATATTGAAATGTTGTACTGACAGAAATGGACATCTGCCACTTGGACTTATTTTACTGTGGTCAGTACTGTCTGTACGTCAGTACCTATCGGTTTTATTGAAATATCAGATTATCAAACAGATAATTTAGTTATTCTAATTATACCACGATAGTTTTGCTCAAGATGCTCCCTCTTGTCATCTATTGTTCTCCGATGATATATAACGAGTACCGATTCGATAGTTTGTTGGGTCCGTTAACGGACGGATATTAACTATGTTAGAGTGTACAAATTTAATAATGAAATTTTGAATTAGATAGACACAAAATTTGACCAAAACACCAAAACATTCTAAACAAAAAAGGCGGAGAAAATAATGTTAAAATCGAAAACTATCAAAAAATGTAAATGATAAAATCGTATTCTCATTTACAATAGTACTTTCATGAAGTAAATTTGTAACAACGTGAACATTGCAAGCTTTGGAAAACAACACAAAGAGAATCAAAAGCCAACACTTAATATTATAATCGACGAAGTTAATGATGGTAAACCTATAGATCAATACTTCCGAAGACCGTAAAAAGTCTTTCTATTTTTTTTGTTTCTATAAATGTTTTATTTATTTCCATTTTTTTCTTCGTGTATGTTTATTTCATACGATGGTTACTTCGCATTTCAATGTCTGAATGGGCCAAATCTGTGCATTTTAAAATAATTAAATTCGAAATTTGTACGCTTTATAATAGCAATTTATTTAAAACATTATATTCTACAACGGCGCACCGTCAAGAATTGTTGACTCGTCATCTCCTACAGCTTTTTCACCTTTTAATTGTTTTTAAGTCAATACGTTTTATTCAACACTGCTGTAGTTTTTTGGCGTTTTCTCCGTATTATATAGAAATCGCAAAGAAATAACTGTTTGTCAAATAAAAACACTACATTTTAAATCGATTTAAATAGTATTTGTTTGTTTGTATTATCGTTGAAATGCATAAAACGTTGAATTTCGATAAATTACTACAAACTAAACATATACTTTTAACAACCCCGTCTTGAAATTTCGGAACATAAATTCGGTCATTTTTTATCGGCACAGTTGAGTTTTCAAAAATATCATATTATCGAAAACTTTTAATTAGACATTTAACAAAATCTTAAATACAATCGCATATCTATACCTATATGGCTACATATACCTACGTAATTTGAATATGGTATTAGAGGTATTATGGTATTATATCTTACAATGGATATTGTGAATCGCAATGCATTAATTTATTTGAACTTGACACTGCAGTCTTTTTAACTTAAATATCGATTTTCTCAAAAATTTTCTCATCAAATTTGAAAAACCGAAAAAAAAAATGGAAAAATATAAGAATTGTAGGTATTAGTTGAAATATATTACGGTCTTCTTTTTTCTGTAAACAACTTTTCTAATAGCAATTTTGCTCCAACTTTTAATGATAGCAATGTTTCTAAAAGAAAATTTCAGAAATTATTAGCGAGATACTTTAAATAGGTTATTTTTTAATTTTACCAAGAGTTTTTCTAGCAAATGTGATAAACAAAGTTAAAACATGGAAAACCGGGAAAAACGTAGAAAATTGGTAAAATTGGTAAAATATTTAACAAATTTTATTAAAGAAAATATATAAAGCCTATTTAATTATTTTATTATAAAATAATATATATATTCTTGACAAAGCATCACTATAAACTAAACTCTACTCAGAATCGTTTTTTCGTAAGCAAAAGTTTATCGTTGCTTACAGATATACATTGAGTTTTCGACTATATCCTACCTTCCCAACTTTTGTACCTACATAAGTTGTTACACCCGTCTCCATTATCTTACCTTTCTTTTTTTAAATTTTTCTTTTCTATGATTTTTACAATGATAGTACTATTTCAGAAAGGAAATCTGACTAGGGTGGTATTTTAAGGAAGCGATTTTTTGATTTTAATAGTTCATTTTCTAATAAATCTGAAATAACGTAGAAAAACTAGAAAATAGTACAACATTAAATAAATATTATTAAAGAAAATATGTAATGCAAATGTAATTATGTGGTATTATTTTACCATAATATGAAATATATATTGTTGGCAATGCATCACTATCAACCGAACTCCACTTAGAATCGTTTTTTTTAGCAATTGTTAATCGTTGCATACAGATATACATCCAATTACATTTTTTCTGTCTGTAAACATATTTTTGAAAAGAAATCTTGCCTCGATGTATAAAGTATAGTCCCTTTTTTGAAAGAAAATTGTGTCCTATTGGTGCATTAAATAGATCATTTTTTCATTTTCCAAGAGGTTTTCGAAAAAATTATGATTAACCAGGAAGAAAATTGTAGGTAAAACGGCAAAAATTTATGGCACACCGCAATTGATACGTTGAGTACATTTGAAATGGATATGTTTTTAAAATTGGAAAAAATGGCTTAATCCACTATCATAGCATTGGGATACTCAGGTACTGAAATAAATTATTTATGTATCAGTGCCAAAAATTTTTTTTCATAATCCTGTAATAAATTCGTATAATTTTTATTTTTTTCTAAACTTAAAAATTATATATAAAATCATATATTTTTTTCTGAACTTATATGTTGACCACGGGTACATTTTTTGCTCACTCACTCCAACCATAACTTTTTTCCAAACTTATAAAACAGTTTCAGTTATTATAGGTGGGTTCTATTTGGTTTTTCCTGTTTCTATATACCTGGTATTTGTGCTTGTTGTCACTATTGTTTTCCCATGGATAACACGATACACATAATATTCCGTTGTGTAATTTTTTCGTAGAAATATAATATATAAATTAACTTGTTCATTGTATAAATGGGTTTGTCAAGCGATCAGACATAATCCGAAAACAAAATTTATCAAGTAATTGAAAATAATTAAACAGATAGTAGTGTAAAGCTGAAAAAAATGGAATGATTAAAGGATGGTAAAGAAAAAAGTCATTTTCACTAATTGGATACATTTCATGAAATGGATGTCCACTTCATGAAAAAAGCGATTTCACTAAGTGGATGCGACATATACATTGCAACGATTCATCGAAACCTGTACCCCTTTATATCCTGCCCCTTATATTTTGAACAACGAACTTCAAGCTGGCCATTTAATGTAAGCGATACTTATTAAACTTTAGTAATAGAATATTAATTAGAATAAATAGGCCTAAAGAAATAATAATTTCCTACGATAGGCAATAGCCATCATCAATTATGAGGACTATGGTCGTGCGCAGCAAGACGATGGTAAGACGGGAATATAGAGACGATGAGGTAGGTGATTGTTCTCGACCGTTTACGATAAACACGTACGAGAAAATACGCGAATGTCCGTCAGCTTTATAGCCACAATAATGGTTATAATAATATAAAAATCAATAACTTTACATAAGTACAAGACGTAATTTTATAAACTATGAATACAAAACAATATATTATATTATTACCATTCATTAGAAATAAATACGCTACATTTTCCCCTGGTAACGATCTATGATTTGTTGTTCTTCATCATCCGGTATAAACTTAATGTGTACAATTTTACTAAATACCTTTTGCAAATTCTCTGGCAAAAATCTGTAAGAAAACGGAAACTAATTTTTTTTTCATAATTTTTTTTTTTACACAATTAACACAATAACTTAAACGTTTAAAACGTACACATTGAACTAATAAAAATATTTTGACAATACCTTATGAACATGTACATTGGGTACATGTGATTAGGAACCGAAAATATCTGTTTTTCTTCCAGTATTCCTCTTACAATAAGTCGACCTGCTGTCTCGATTGGGATTTCCGGAAATCTAAAAAATAGATTGTGTGATTTTCTCTTGTTCTAATACTTTCTTAATCCTAATACGTGTGTACTAGATATATATATATATTTTTTTAAATTAAATAATGTGTACAAATTGCAAATGTAGGTACAAAATGTTAACGGTACATTAGAAAAAAAAAAATTAAAAATAAATATTTAATTAACATTAACAATATCACGAGTAGAAGCCACCTGATGGAAACACTCTTACTGACTTCGAATTAGAAAATTACTATCTAACTGAACAATTATTCGTGTAAACGAATAAAGGTTCTTAAATCACGATAATTTTAGGCGATTACCAGGGTGGTCAGGAAGAGTAGTGAAGAAGAAATTATTTATAAAACTATTAGGACGATTATGGAGAAGTCGCATATAACGCGCGTTGGGCTCAGAGTGAAAAACTGGTCAGATATTATAAAAGAACGAGACAAATAATTAGGTAAAATTAATAGTAATTAAGAAAATCAGAGAGCAAACTCGGAAAGCATGTTTACTATCACAGGCCCATAGAGGCAATACTCCACTTTACACGGTACCTATTATAAGAAAATAAACATTCTATTTACAGTTTTTATATAAAAATGTAACAAAACATTTTTAACTTTATTTTTTATACACACGTGTATTATCTGTATGTATGTGATTTGTATTTTGTTTTGGATATTAATTTTGACATACACGAATAAAATATTTAGTCTATACTATAAAACAACCTATTGGGTATTTTCGGGGGTCCTAATTTTAAAATTAACGGTGCTAAAGACCCTCTAGCAACCCTCCAACTAACTAACTGAGTACCGTCGAACTTTAAAAAAAATACATCAAAATTAAATTTTTAATATTTTGGAATAAAGTATTATAACACGAAAGTCCTAAAGACGATATGGACGATATCACGTAGTCGTCTCCATAATCGCATCAGTGTTATTGTATACTATGTTTAATTTATATTTTACATTTAAAGTAATCCTCGGGCTCAATTGGTATAATTCTTGTTTATATCCGGGACTCAATTTGTATATAATTTTTTCTCCGTTCAGGTATTGAGACTCAATAATTATACAGTGATAATATTATTTGCACATTTTTATGTACCTGCAGTCTAACCGTTCGGAAATTTTCGGATTAGTATTTATGAAGTAAGGCATTATTGTCGTTGTCTTTATGGAACTGGAAATCAACTCGTTCAATTCGTTCAATTCGTTTCTCATACTTTCAATCATACCTGTGAGTTAAAATGATTATTAAACATAATGCTGAACAAATCATAACCTGTTCGTACAATATATTATTCTCGTGATGTGTTTGTAGTTATATTGTGTTCAACGTGTTTTGTGTCAAGAAAATATAGTGTATACTATTATTTGAGTTATAGTTTAATTAAAAGCTCAGTGTGTGGATAAGGTAATCAATCTAAGATACGTGATGATGCGTGGTTTCAGACACAGTGGTAACCCACTAAACCAAAAACCGGGTAAGACATATTTTATTTCCGTCAAAGTCGATTGCTTTGAATACTTATCAATTTATTGATTTTTAAACGCGATTTGTGAAGAATTGTTTATCAGCTCTATTTTTGTATGCTAGTCAAATTTTTGAAATAATTTGTATTAAAAAATAAATCAAATCGTTTAGTTTTTTTCATTTTCGTGGTTCGAATATTATTATAACCAAAACACAAAGAGCAACCAAATGTCGTAGAACATAAGTAGCATAGTGACTGTAAATTAAATAGTGTACCATTGGTGGCCCATTTGGTAGCTGTATACGAAGAAATACCGGCTACTCCACATACCGCTGCCAACGAAGATATTGTTACGATATGTCCACTTTTTCTGTCTATCATCGACGGGATTATTTCTCTGTTCATCTATATAGAAAACAAACTTTGTATATTATATTCAAATCAGAAAATAATGTGTTAAATGATGGCAATATAAAATGTTTATATTCTTTTCTCTTGAATTTCGAATCTAGTTGGCGAGTTAGAAATTAGTTTTCTTAATAATTGAGCCGTAATATTAAATTAGTAAAAGGAAATATTATCATATTTAATATTCACCCAAAATTGTCCTTTGAGATTTACGTCTATTATATCGTCGATTAATTGATCTTTCGTGGGATCTAAGTAGATGTGACCCCACACGATGGCTGCGTTGTTTATCAATATGTCTACCGGGCCTATTTCCTTTTTTACTCGTTGGTGTATGTCTTTGATCTGATCCCTTTTGGAAATGTCGCATTTGTAGCTGGCAACCACCGCTCCCGTTTCTTTGACCATCTGCGCCGTCTTGTCGTTTCCTTCTTCATTTATGTCCAAGCATACGATTTTCGCGCCTAAATTTGCGAACAGCAATGCGAGTTGACGGCCTAATCCTGCGGCGGCACCGGTGATCTAAAAACAAACGCTTGCATAATAATTCGATGGTGTTAAGGCTCAAGCGATACTGGAGGATAAGCGATAATTTATAAGCTACCGGTTTGGTAGACATAGGTACATCGTCTGGCCTAACTCTTACTTGTAGGACCATTATACACAGTTATCAACATAACGTAAAACACCCGTTATCTCAAGTAATATTAACTTTTTCGAATTTTTTTTTTTAGATTTAAATATATTTAAATTCATGTGAAATTAATTTTCAATGAATTACAATACGTTATTAATTCACAGTACCTTTTATTTACTTATATTCTTGTTTAACCATATATTTTTTAATATCACCAGGTTGAATACAACCTGATGATATTAAACCTACTACTAAATTATATAACATTATATAATATTAAATACTACTATTGCATGCGATAAATTTGAATGGGCTAGATTGGGCTCGAATAGGTTCGACAATTTTCCGGGTCACGCATTTATAAGTGGATCGGATTTGACGGGTTTTACTTTATAATTTTAAATTTTGGAAGGCTCGGGTTTCATAAATAATAATTGTGTTAGACTCCATGATTACGATATGGACCGGGGTTTTCATAATGGTGTTGATACCGAGGGCGGAGGCTCGTTTGCACACAAATTAATATATTTTTTAAATTTACGACAACTTTTTTTGCACGAAAAATTTCGAATAACGAAAACTTGATTTTAAGTACAGTTTTGGGTGTACACTGTACAGGGTGTCTATAACGATTATTTTCAGTCGTGGTTTTCTATCACTCATCAGTTATCAACGATCAGTAATACATGATGAGATTTAATCTTTATTAATATATTTCTAATATAACGCTTTTTTTGTTAAATTTTTCCTCTGATAATAATTGTTAAACCTTATAAGTTAAAACCATAACAAATGTCTTGTACATTTTAGTTCAGTCTCCGATTGGGGCGTAATAACAGTATGCACTATTTGTTTAACACGGAAAAAAAAAAGTTTTATAATATTAAATAATTTTGCATTTTGAGAGTATAGGTAATTAAAAAATGGAATTTAATGCATCTGCATGTTTTTTTTAATTTTTCAATGCATATTTTACACTTTTTTTAATTTAAAGGTAGGTACGCAAGTTAGATACACCCTATATGCGGTTAAATTTCTTTGAAAAAAGGTTTCAATTGTTCGCAAATTGTGCACAAATGATTTGTATTTTTGTGACGGTTGGGATTAAAACAGATAAAACAAAGTTTGTGTCGCGGTCGGTTTATCTTAATTAGGTATGTTTTTGAATCGTAGTATACAAACATTTGTGTAAGTTGTAATTAACAAATCATTATGTTACACATTATAAAATAGTTAAAATAAATACAAATAAAATAATAATACAAATTATATACCCAGGTATTTACAATTATACTCGTGATTAAACTGAGTCATATAGGTATGATGCCTACACATTTCACAAATATGAGTGAATCGATTTTTTTTTTCCAAATATTGTTTAATTTTATTTTTAATACATTTCTGTCCAAGACTCTCAGATTTTTTGTTAGTTTTCAAATCTACCGAATTGAATTGGCATATGTATTAATCGGAATGTTTTTGACACACTAAAAATTAAAATATGTTGGGATATGGCGATCGGTTCTCAGTTATGAATTGATAATTAATAAAGCTACACTTTATGTTTAATAACTTAATATTTTGACTATATTATTATGTTTAACTATCATAATAATTGTATTTTTAAAATATAATTATTTTTGTATAATATGATTCAAAAACATACATCATTAAGATAATCTGACAACAACTCAGATTTTGTTCTCCACCAGTTTTGATACCGACCGCGACTTGGACACTTCCCATACTGAGCAAACGCCTTCATGCACGTAGGAACTGAAAATAAAAGCCTTTGAGGAGTTCTAGTAGATCCTCACCAAGATGACTTGACCTTTGACTGATTTTCTCTTCACCGGTAGACATTTTTTTACACAGGCCCATAAAATTCCGGCCGGTACCAATATCAAAAAAAAAAATGTTATCTCGAAAATGAATTTTACTGGTTGCGACGGTATATTATAAGACATGGTAGAGAAATTTTATATTAAAATAAAACGTTACTGTATTTCACTGTAAATCACTATAATACTTCAAATCAAATACATTTTTCACATATTTGAGAAATTAATATCAGAGAACTATTTATATTATATTCGGCGAACACATTCGGCTGCAATCGTGGTCTATCCCGGGTGGTGAGTGGGAGAAATCTACCGAGGCCGCAACCGTGAGAGGTGTTCTTGTCCATATCTAATGAAATATATTAATATATTAATATATTAATATATTAATATATTAATATATTAATTAACATTTTATGTATGATTATGCGTTACTCTCGCTTCGTTTTAATTCGATGAAATGATTTTGTCATGGAGCGATAAGGAAAATGTTTAAGAACTATAAAGATCTATATTTTAAATAATTAATTTATTATAATAATAAAAATATAATATAATACATATTATTATAATTTTTTTTTTGTTTATCCAGCCACCAGCACCATCCCGTCGAACAACCAATTCTCCAGCCATCTCTATTCATTGCCAGATCCTTCCAGTTTGGGCTACGTTTTAATTCTTCAACATTCCTCCTAACCATATCTTCCCATCTCATTTTTGGTCTTTCCAAAAGTTTTTTTTCAATCGGATTTTGTTCTAATACCGATCTTATTAGAGAGTTCTGAGTTATTGTATGGCTTGTACAACGAAGCCTTCCTTTCTTGATAGTCTCTACTATGTTCTTTTCGTTATACGTTTCTTGTAGTTCTCTATTTTTTTTTTTTTTTTATTCCACTCTCATGGAATAATATCTTTTTTTGGTCCAAAATTTGTTCGTATTATTTTTCTTTAAAGTACCAAACATTTACTTTCATTTAATTTCCTTACTGTCCAAGTTTTCGATCCGTTTATAACCACTGGGCGTATCAGGGTGAAATATAATCGTTTCTTTATTTCCCTTGACAGTGATTCTGTGCCTAATAATTTCGCCAGTTCATAATATGCCTTTTTTTCCTGCTTGGATATTATTATAAATGATTTAATACAAATGAGGTAATCGGGGGATACATTCCTCTCACCATACTCCGTTTGCTGCTCTTGATTTAATTACATTATTATCTCATTGTAATATGCGTATAAGGCCCTAACTCTAATAGTTTTCATTTTTCATGTTATCTATTGCCACAAAACCAGTGGGTTAGACTAGGGAAATGCCATTCCAGCCCCCTCCCTTCTTGTAATTCAAACTAATATATTTTGTATAGGTTAGACTAAACCATATTTTAGTACCTTATTTGTATACATTTCTACGGCCGTTTTTAAATCCGAACGATTAACCTACGGTGACAATTACGGTACCAAGAAAAGATGCTGTAACCACAGTCTTATCCAGAATGTAAATCTCGTTGCTTTTATTATTTTCTGCCATAATTGACGAGTATTATATTCTTTGAATGAATTTGTTTTTAAAATTATCATACTTTCCATTAGAATAGTTGTTCATAGACAGAAAAAAAAGTACACTGCATAGTAAAACCAAAACATTCATCTTTTTAAAAAATAAAAAAATAATGTGCACACATTATGGTAAAACCAAAACAGTTTTTAAATCCATCTACAAATCTGACATTTTCCTTTTATTAAATTTTTCATATCACATTTAAAATATCAATTCACATTTTACTCAATCGATAACCTTCAAACCATCTAATTTGTATACTTTACCAGAATTCCGTTGCTTATGTTAATATTGTGTTTACTATCTTTCAATAACGACGGTATGATATTACGATAACAACAGTATGTAAAATATATGTAAAATTATATTTAATTACTGACTAATTTAATGTTCTTCTTGCATGAATTAAAATATAAACCTATAATGGTCGAGTTAAGTCGAGATGTTCGAGTATGAATAACAGCAAAAATTAATATTCAAAGAATTAATAAAAAGTAAACAAAAACAAAATAAATTTCAGATAATTTAATGAGTTTATTTAGTTTTGAGTTGACTGCATTATTTCCATGGTGGTGGCGGTGCCATTAACTCTAAAATTACTTTCAGATGAACTAATACAAGGTGTTCTACGAATATACACCCATTGTAATATCTGATGAAATAATAAAGATCACTAAATTGTAATTTTTAGATTCAGAGTGTAGCGAAGAATGTATTTAGGTTTTACCATGATGTTTATTTTTATACTGTAACAAAAATATATACCAGAAATCTTGATTTAATTTATAAATGTGGCACGTTTTTTAAAAAATTTTTTTATCTAAATGGTACTTTGAAAAGGTCAGTTATTGATTTTCCAAGCAGTTTTCATTATAATTGGAAACACCTGGATAAAAGGTTCCAAAAACGGGAAAATTTACGAAAATTAATTTATAATTCAGTTGAAAATACTCTTAGTTAATTTAAATTTGGACAGAAAACTTATACTTACATTTTTTAGACGTGGTTATATTGTAACAATATTTGAGGCTATTTTTAGCTTTTTGAAGACATTTTAATTTGGTGAATAGTTTTTAATCGATATGTACACTGTAGATGACATTGTTAGACTAAACAGAAATGTTTTAAAACTAAACAGGAGTTTCATTGTATTTCGGACTTTGGAAAATATTTTTACTACCTTTAAATAAGAGTATTAAGGCTTTTCAAAACATGTATAACTGAATTCCGCTCGTACAGATATACATTCAATTTTCCTTTTACTTTCCCAAATTCTCACCTACAATAGAGGCCCACCTATCGTACAAAGTATGTCCATTTTTTCTTTTGGTTTGACTCAATTATTAAAAAAAAACTACAGAGAATTTTAAAATCGACTTTCTTACTCATTAACTGAATTCGAAATTCAAGGAAAAAGTTCTTATGTTGTTTTTATATTGGAACAAAATTTCTAGTAGAAAACATAAAACGTAAAAATTAAAAAAATATAAGCACATTTCCAATTATTATTCCAAATTAATCTTACCTGATTTCCATTTGTATAAACGAGCTCTACCCATCAGCAGTAATAGTTTTTTTTTTTTTTTTTTTTTTTTAAATCGTCATTGATTGAAACAAATCAAAAATATTTTACTATATTTCGTCCAATATTTAAAAAAAAATTGTTTTATAATGTATCTAAACATTTGGATTAGTACCGATTAATGAATTACTACTATATTTAAATTTAACGGGAGAAAATAATATAAATTTCTCGAGTAAATTGTCGACGAACAAGTAGTTTTATTTGGTAACATTACCTAAAAATTATGATCGAACGCAAATAAAATTAATATTAAAATAGCTTACAGGTTACCTATGAGTAGGTATATTATATAATGCGATCGAAGTGTAATTATGTATAAGCACTATGTATATCTACAGCCAGTAACACAAGTTTACGTAGGTATATACGAGGTCAAAATAATACAAATAAATATACCTACATAAAATAAATATAACGAAATATAATGTAATAATCAGTGATGTGCACAGGAATTATCATTGGTAGGGGGAATGTAAAAGCCAAATCCTAAAAAAGGACAATTTCTAATTAATACGTCAAGTTTTACGCATTTTTTTTTTGTATAAGACCTGTATTCGAAAAAAAAACACGTGTTTCTGTTCAAGTATTAAATTTTTTTTCTACACAAAAAACGAACCAAGTTTTTATGAAATGAATTTGGATCGTCGAATAGATACCTATATACTATATCTATATACACATAGCTAGGTAGATACCTAACAATACTCCCTGTCACAGTTCATGAATTAAGGGGACGAAAAAGGGGCGCAATTGGGTATGTCCTATATAAACGGACACAGCATCAATTGTTATCGAAACATTGTATATAATATTATGAAGATGTTTGTTCCTGTTTATTCTTGCGGAAACGATTTTCGTCCAAAAACCACGAATGAAAAAAAAAAAACAACAGTAAAATTCGATAGATCATCGCACATTACATTGTTAGTCCTTTGTATCGAAAAGTGCATTTAAGTGTGCGTTAATACATTTTTTGAAAAGAAGGGGAAAAGCAAAATACAAAAAACTAATGGGATATTTTAAAATAGGTACCTTTGGATATTATTTTTTTTTCATTCAAATATAAACGGAACTATAAAAAATTCTGGACATAATTCATGCCAGAAGTAGGCTACTATTAGAGGAGGAAAAATTATAGGAAGATTAGGAGACAGGATGTTTTATTTTATATGTTTATCTTATATTGAAAAAAACGTTAAATCATTGCAATCAAAATATAACTCTTCCCAGAACTCGATAAACTGGTCAATTAAGGCAATACCAGCATGTGGTCATAAAAAAACTGTGTTACAATTTTTAATATAGGTCCTTGGATAATACTTAAACGGGTGCAGCCAATGTTATAGGTAATTCAATGTATATCTGTAAGCAACGTTAAACTATTGCTAACGAAAAAACGATTCTGAGCGGAGCTCAGTTGAAAGTGATACTTTGTCAACAATACATACATGCCATATTATAATATTAAATAAGCTCTTTATATTTTCTTTAATAATATTTGTTTAATGTTGTGACGTTTTTCACAGTTTCCCCATGTTTTTCTCCCAGTTTTTCACATTTGTTAAGATAATCGAAAAATAGCTTGTTTAAAGTGCCTTTCCACGCTGATTTCCTTTTTAAAAAGATGCTACACAGAAAAAATGAAGCAATATATTTGGTAGAAAAGTTGTTTACAGAAAAAAAAAACAAACATCTTATAAAACAATATGCTTATTCACTCCTATACCTAGCCTAACCTAACCTTTAACACATTAAGATGTGTTAAAAACAAATGCGTGAAACAAAACTACTGAAAATCTAAAAATAGTTTTAATAAATATTTAGTTCATCATTAAGTAATCATCACAAAATATTAATCACAAGTAAGTAATTATGGATGGTAAAAAAATATAACCTTGTATAGTTTTTAATTGGTATTTATTACTCGGCTTAATTAATGGTCGGTTTAATTCATTTTTAACACGCACGAGTTTACTAAAAACACAATAACCGATAGTTAATTTATCTAGTTCACTTGAACTAGATAAGTTTTCGGTTTTACTAAAATTATTATTACGGACGTTTATTATTTATCAGATGTGGTGTTGGCGGTGGAGGAAAGGCGTTATTTGAATTGGAGGAGGACTAACCTGCATCAATAATGCAAAAAGAGAACAATAAAAAAAAAGAAAAAAAGAATGGTAAGACTACTAGCCAAAGGTACAGGACAGAAAAAATAAAAATAAAACAACATATCGGGTTTAGTCGATCTAGGGGAGGGTGGAATTTTGTGATTCATTGTAAACCGGCGGCAGACGGACAATAAAAAAAAAAAACGGAAAAATCATTCAATAACGGGGGCCCCGACCGATAGCGATCGCACACCGTCGATGTATATTTTATATATTATTTCGACTTTCCGGTGGGGCGGTGGCAAAAAAAAAATACTCGTATATACCACCTTTGCCGTCTGGTTTTTTTTTTCCCGTGCAGCTGTGCACAACTTTAGGAAACGATTTTCTTCGCGACCCTTTTGCAGCGCGCGTTCACTATATAATAAAGTACCTATATAATAATATTATATGGGTATATTTCTTTTTGCCAGATCGGCCAGATCAGATTACATTTAAATTTATAGACCGCCCGCGGCCGGTAGGTACCTATAATAATATATAAGGAGGTGTTAATAAAGAAAAGCCATTGTGCGGGGTGGGAGGGAACGGAGGCGACGGTGATGGTTAAGGGTTCCGTTTATACTCTTTGCGTTTTTTCTCCATCCCCTGCTTACTTCAAAGGATTTCTCACTGTCAAAGCGCCCCGCGAAACATACAAAACTCGATCTTGCGATAAACACATACTTACCTACATAATAAGCGCGCGAGTAAAGGGTATAGGACGTGCGTCTTTGGCTTTTATTTCCTCGTATTTTTCGAAAACATTCTACGGTCGAATACCTGTATAAAATTGCAATGTAACATTCCAGATGTTATATTCTCCCCCTCCATGGAAAAAAAATAAAAATTAACTTTGGAATTTTTTTTTCTTGTTATATCAAATGATTGGTTCCCTTGATTTTACGCGTATAAATTTCCGTCTACTCGTTAGTGAGAATTTAAAAAAGCCAACACTGAAACGTATTTAAACTACGTTCCGTCCATTAACTCAAAAATGAATGGTAATGTAACATTTTAGAGTTACTTGTTTCTTAAGTTTCGGAAAAGAAAAAAAATATCTCAAGGACTAGATTTTCGTGGGACATTCTCCCACGGTTTGTTACGACTATCACAATTTATATACGTCTACTCTGATCGTTGTACAAAACTAATGTCTTTGAATATCGTCAATAATAATCGCATTTAATGATTTGATCGTTTGGCACGTACGAAATTTTATTATTATATTTATAGTGAAAATACCTAGCCGCGACACCGTGGCTATAGTCCACTGTTATTTGGGTAAGGCAGGATAATATATTATATCCGATTATTTAATTTATAATTTTACGTAACTCTATGTGTATATTCGCAAACGAAATACGATTCTGAGTGGAGTAATATTAGTTGTAGTTTTGCCCCCTTTAACGTTACCGAGGTAACCAAACAATCAACAGAATACCGAAAACAGCGTATAGATGACGAGCTTTTGAAAATGGCAATAGATGTTTCGAAAAATCAAGTACCATCGGACAAACAATTTGCATATTTTGAAGTTATTACGCGAACAAATCGGAACCTTTTTTGTTGTATTGTTGTGTGTCACAATAAAGAATAATTGATTTCTATACAGATTAGTATAATAATTATTTAATCGACATTTGTTTGATTCAAGATAGACATTATGCGTGCGTAGGGAACAGCATACAATTTATAAGGGTTGTAGTAGAATAAGTGCCCAAAAATAGTTATACGTCAGGTTAAAACGTTCACAAAATCATATGTTTTACAAATTCTTCGAACCGAGAAAGTGTTTTACGAGAAAAAGTAAAACTACAATAGCTTCTTCGTTACGTTCGGACTCTAAAAGTCTAATATTTTCTTTTTATCTGGAGACGGAGAAATATTCGTTGGCCATCAAATTCCGGGAATTTACCCATCGTCACAATTCGCAGGCAAACGTATTTATCTCGGCGTGAGAACACAAATGCTGCAGCCATCCCGCGATAAGAAAATTAAAAAAAAAATAGTTTCAAACATAATGTAAATAATCATATTTTTAACATTCTGCTTAAATATTTTGTTGAAAACATATTTTTTATTTCAAAAGTTTAAATCAACCGTTTAACAGCACAATGTTTAATCCGGCAAACGTTGAATATTTTATTAATATTAAAATATATGTTAGATTCTGAGTTGAGCGAAGAATGTATTGGTTTTACAAAGATGTTGTTTTTTTTTTTTTTGTTTTTTCATGTTAACACGTTTTTTACCAGAATGCTAACTCCAATTTATACGATGTAGACTCTTTTTCTAAATGGAAATCTGAATGAGGAGGTACTTTAAAGAAGTTTTTTGATTTTCTCAACAAATATGAAAAATTTAAACAAAAATCGGAGAAAAACGGGGAAATGTACAAAATATAAGATTTAAGTATTTAAGATTGAATAATCATTTTAATCGTATCCCGTCCTCGAGTATTTTTTTTTCTTTTTTTAGTGAAATTCACAAATACGTATTTCAAATACACGTTAAAACAATATCTGCATTTGTAACCGAAATACATTAAAAAAGTATATTCTACGAGTGTGGTAATGAGAATTATTTAAAATCCTTTACGATTTTATTCGTACTACCTTATACTTATAACTCCCGTCCGGTGAAAACAGTAACAAATTACAGGCACTCATAACAGTTTATATTTTAAAATGTTCATAATATAAATAAAAAATAATAATAATTAATTCCTAGTAGATGATGAAAAAAGCAAAAGATAAAATTGATGTTTGTTTTTAGATTCTCAGNTCTGACTGAGGAGGTGATTTAAAAGGTGATTTTTCGATCTTCTCAAAGAGTTTTCCCAGCAAATGTGAAAAACAAGGGAAAACCTGAAAAAACGCTGGAAAAATGGAAAAATCGGAACAATATTAAACAAATATTATTAAAGAAAATATATAATGATGCCTATTTAATTATTTTACCATAGTATGACATATAATATATTGTTGACAAAGCATCACTATCAACTGAACTACGTTCAGAATCGTTTTTTCGTAAGCAATGGTTTATCATTGCTTACAGATATACATTAAATTACCTATATACCAACGGCTGCACTCGTCTTCATTATCCTAGGGACGTCTTTTTCGCTTTTTTAAATATAAAATGTACATACTAATAAGATATTTAAAATAATTTTTATGCTAAAAATCAAAATACTAATTGTTACGAAAAAAAAAAAAACACTGTTTAATTATTTCATACATCCACGCTTGTGAATATATCCATATATGTGTCGAATATGAATTATACATATCGGACAATTATTATTCTCGATTTTCTAAAAGTGTACGTGTATAATTAGTTTTTTTTTTTTTTTTAATATAATTTTGTCTTGCATCATAATTAGATCCTTAAATTATACTTATGAATTTGAATAACATTAATAATATATAATGTATTCAAAATAAACGTATATAGCGTGGGTATTTTAAAAATTTAATTTGTTTGCATTAAAAACTGCATAAAATTAACTTGACGTTTGCCATAAACAAATGTGTGATCATTATAGTGAATTTAATTACTTGCTTTTACATTGAAAAAAATAAAAAAAAAAAATGAAGAATAAACATTGATTTAGTGTGTGAAAAATGTAAAAAATACATTTTAATCACTATGCTTACCTGCCTTAGTATCCAAATACGTAACGGGCAGGTATAACTATTATTAAACGCATAATATTTCAATACGTGTTTTGATTTTGTATGAAGTTGTTCATTATATTGTTATTATTATTTCGTATCAGGTATCTGTATATATGTAATTTATTGGGCTTATACCTTTACGCGTGTACGACTTACGGAGAGAAACAATCGTATAATTATACAAAAACAAAGTTCTGAATCATTATAAACCGACACGATAACTTTTTGTATTTACTGCGCCGTGTCTGCTGAACTTGCTATTTAGTTTTATATTCTGGTTGTTCAAACGTTCTAACACCACTTAAATCTGATATAATAATTCATTTTACGCTTCTTGGTCTGCATTTCGGTTTTTTAGTTTTGTTACATATTTAATTTACTGCGTATTTTTGAAGAAGGTTTTTGAGTATTATTGTTTAATATAGCATTCCGTTAGTAGTTTTTATTGTTGTGTACGATTTGAGAAAAAACAAAAAAAAAAAGAATGCCGATCACTGGTCAAGTGTGTATGTCGACTTATTGGTCCGATAGGGAAAATATATCCGACTGTTTAAGAACATTATGTTTTCAATCAAACCGACTAACCGACATTATTGGACAATATTTTCTGTAATAAAATTTGTTTAATTATTGTATCGATTTTCCCGTTTTTGTAAAGTTGTTCACAATTGCTGAGAAAATTCTTAAGAAAACTAAAAAATCACCTCCTTAAAGTCCACCTTCGCAGTCATATTTCCTTTAAGAAAAAGTGCTATCATAGTAAATCGGAGCAAAATTCCTGGTAAAAAATTTGTTTATAGAAAGAAAAGGCTATTATATTTTATTAATATATTTTGTACATTTCCCCGTTTTTCTCCGATTTTTGTTTAAATTTTTCGTATTTGTTGAGAAAATCAAAAAACTTCTTTAAGTACTTTAAAGAAGTTTTTTTTACATTCTACATACACTAAATCAATGTTTATTCTTCATTTTTTTTTTTTATTTTTTTCAATGTAAAAGCAAGTAATTAAATTCACTATAATGATCACACATTTGTTTATGGCAAACGTCAAGTTAATTTTATGCAGTTTTTAATGCAAACAAATTAAATTTTTAAAATACCCACGCTATATACGTTTATTTTGAATACATTATATATTATTAATGTTATTCAAATTCATAAGTATAATTTAAGGATCTAATTATGATGCAAGACAAAATTATATTAAAAAAAAAAAAAAAACTAATTATACACGTACACTTTTAGAAAATCGAGAATAATAATTGTCCGATATGTATAATTCATATTCGACACATATATGGATATATTCACAAGCGTGGATGTATGAAATAATTAAACAGTGTTTTTTTTTTTTTCGTAACAATTAGTATTTTGATTTTTAGCATAAAAATTATTTTAAATATCTTATTAGTATGTACATTTTATATTTAAAAAAGCGAAAAAGACGTCCCTAGGATAATGAAGACGAGTGCAGCCGTTGGTATATAGGTAATTTAATGTATATCTGTAAGCAATGATAAACCATTGCTTACGAAAAAACGATTCTGAACGTAGTTCAGTTGATAGTGATGCTTTGTCAACAATATATTATATGTCATACTATGGTAAAATAATTAAATAGGCATCATTATATATTTTCTTTAATAATATTTGTTTAATATTGTTCCGATTTTTCCATTTTTCCAGCGTTTTTTCAGGTTTTCCCTTGTTTTTCACATTTGCTGGGAAAACTCTTTGAGAAGATCGAAAAATCACCTTTTAAATCACCTCCTCAGTCAGATTTCCATTTAGAAAACGCGCTATTATTGTAAATCGGAGAAAAATTGCCGGTAGAAAAGTTCAGAATACAGTGTCACACTTCGCTACACTGAGAATCTAAAAACAAACATCAATTTTATCTTTTGCTTTTTTCATCATCTACTAGGAATTAATTATTATTATTTTTTATTTATATTATGAACATTTTAAAATATAAACTGTTATGAGTGCCTGTAATTTGTTACTGTTTTCACCGGACGGGAGTTATAAGTATAAGGTAGTACGAATAAAATCGTAAAGGATTTTAAATAATTCTCATTACCACACTCGTAGAATATACTTTTTTAATGTATTTCGGTTACAAATGCAGATATTGTTTTAACGTGTATTTGAAATACGTATTTGTGAATTTCACTAAAAAAAGAAAAAAAAATACTCGAGGACGGGATACGATTAAAATGATTATTCAATCTTAAATACAAAATATAATTTTGAACAATATTTGAAATACTGACAAGTTTTTGTAAAAGTATTAAAAACACGTAAAATTCGAATATTTGCGTTTAAATAATATTTTTACTCGGACATTAAGAGTAGAGACTGCAGCCTATATGTGAGTATTAAACGATTTTCCAACAATATTCAATTTCGGCGTCACACGACTATTATATTATCATTTACTACCGTGTTATTATTAAATACTATTATTATTATAATTATTGTTGTTATATTGCAGTATTCTCTAATTAATAGACAGAGTTCGGTTTATGATCATCGAGTTGGGCATTGTGATCTGGACTTCTTGCGGCGGTACCGTGTATTTCACGTAGAAAATGTTTTTGATCGAATCCGAGATATTGACGGGCAGTATTCTGTCGGGAGGAAAAAAAAAAATAATGTAAAAATCATTCGATTACATACAATTACTATCAGGTATTGTTCGTTTACTTTCGAATCGTGTTCGCGTAGTATACATAACCGGGAATGCTGTGCTCGACTTTGTTCGTTAGGATCGCGTACACCGTACGTTTGGCCGCGCGTTCCAAGCTCAACACCGGCGTCCTGAAATCCGATTAATGTTCGTTAAAATACGGACGCACGGCGACGGCGGTCCGTATGGTACTCGTGTGCAAGGGCGTCATTTGAGGCATTCAGATGCTGCACTTTGGCAGCCCTATATTTTTAAACGTCTCCGTGGCCCGCGTAAAACGCTATAATAATTGACAGTGAGACACGGAGGATTTTTTATCACTGTTAATTATTGTTATCGTGGCTACAAAAAAAACCGGTATATTGGCAAGGTAACTCACGTGGTTTAGTAACAATTTATTACTGTAACGCCAAGGCCAACAAACCTAGTATTTGAATATGAAAATGCAAAGCAAGAATACGAATATAACGGAACGAAGCGAACGGACAATGTTCAGAAAAATTGGCCAGATTCAAATGTTTGTATCCCTATTAAAAAACTAAAATGACGCCCCTGGTCGTGTGGAGTTACTTGTAGAATGCGTGTTAAAAAAAAATAAAAAAAAAATACGAGCTTATAATTAAAGCTTCGCCGAGTGCATCGTTTTGTTTTTTTTTTCCAGTATTCCGATATAAAATCGATAGCCGATCCGATATTATTTTATTTACTTGGATTCGTGAGCCGATAAAAAAAAAAAAAAAAAAAAAAAAAACATTTTTTCAAAAACAACTATATAAACCGATATGAATCGTGTAGGAAGTCAAAATATCGTTTCTTCAAGGATATTTCATACCGTTAATAAATGATAATAATAATTATTAATTAAAGCATTGTCTAATGTGTATTTACTTTTTATCAGTTTATCACATACCTTTAAATTACACATTATATCGGTCGATATTAATATCCGTTATTGGTATTAGCCAGGCCTTATTTATAATGAATTTAATATTTCAGATTGGGTACGATTTAAGAGATAGATTTTAGATTCTCTATAAGTGGATCGAGGAACCTATATATAAGACTATAATGCGGTGTAGGCGTAACAAACATGTTTCACTCTTAAACCGTTTTTCGGATCAAAATGAGTATTTTGAAAAATATCGACCAGCAAAATACCGAAATTCTCTGGTCAACGATCTTAAAACCGTATAAATCGCCGAATAAATAGCGATTCCAACAAACGCAACAATTTTGAATTTCAGTTATTTTTTTTTAAACCGTGAAACGATACCTGCTGTTGATGTATTTCAAGTAATCGGCACTAGTGTTGATCAGTTTGGGCAAAACGACGGTGGTCTGTATTTGGTTGTTGGGCCGTTCTCTGAGTTCTTCTCGAAGACTGTCCATCATGCCTGTAACAGTTTTTTTTCGTTATGCACGAGTATTTGTTATTATGCTTGGGTGGTTTAGTTTCGGACACCCTGTCAATGAGCTCATGGGAGGCAGAGAAAGGTCGCAAAATGTCGTTGATAAACTTAACCTGTATGAAAATCATTTTATCGAAAACTAAAACAAAAATATATTGTTATCGACGTGTTTGAAATTTCGTTCAATCTTGAAAACCGTACTTAATAATATTATAGATAACGGTATGTACGAGTATTCCATTGGTTTTTAAAGAGTTTTCAAAGACTTGATAATGCGCCTGAACTATTGCGTTAATACAGCTATACGAACAACATCGATTTTAAAATGTGGTTCGGGACATAAAGACGTTGGTTTCTATAATATTCGATTGTAACGACGGGTTTACCGTTAACACCGCATTTGCTAGCAGTGTACGCCGACAGGTTTGCGGCTCCGCTAAGAGCCGACACCGACGATATCGCTACGATGTGTCCGCTGTTCCTTTTCAACATACTCGGCAAAAATGACCGTATCATCTGAAATGTAAAAAAAATAAAACAATTTTAAAAAATGAAGGTAGAATACCACTCGCGGGCGTACCGATAGGGTGGCATGACGGACAATGAGCCACTGGTAAACGATATTTCCGAGCCCCAAATCATGGCAAAAGGTATAAATTTGAACGATACGTATGAAGTTGGGCTCCCACTATGGTCAGGTCAGGTCACCTTTTATTTTTCATTTTGTTCCATCCGCGTAAATCGGGTAATTCGGCCCCCAACGCGAATTGAGCACTTGGCTCTCAATTTGGTTAATCGTTATTCTAGAATATTTCGCCATGGCCATTAAAAGTCGTAGTTACGCCACTAAGGCCACTTAGTGTTCCGACCACTGTTGAACACTGCTCCGAGTGAAGGGTTTGTACAAAGTAATACGGTTTACAGAATAGTTTATACAGTTAATCGAAAGCAACGACAAACCGTTGCATACTAAAGACGATTACGTACGGAACTGCATCATTACCCTTCCCCCGTATAACCGAGAAGGAACCACGATATTATAAAAAAAACTATTGTAGCTATTCTAAGTATTGGTATTTGCTGTCGGTATTTGAACCATTATTCAAATCATAGTGTCGTATTTCCACGACGGGTTACGGTGTGACGGTTTTGAAGCATTACTAACCGAAAATATGCATTCTGAGGGAACTATACACATTTTCGCTAAATCCGAGTTAAGACCATTACCGTTTAACTCACAAAAATCTACGCCCGGATTACGATACGATTGTGCGTCATGGGAATCGTATTTTAGATTCCGAGTAGAGCGAGGAATGTATTGGTTTTACAATAATGTTTATTTTTGTTTTCTGCGGACAACTTTTCTACCAGCAGTTTTACTCAGATTTTCAACTATAGCACTTTTTCTGAAAGGATGTCTGATTAGAGTGGTATTTTAATGGGGTAATTTTTTTTTTTTTTTTTTTGTAGGGTTTTCATAATAAATGGGAAAAACCAGGAAAAAACGTAGGAAAACTGGAAAATATACGAAATGTATTACTTTCAAAATCTTCGATATTACGAATCTTTAAAACATAAACTCGTATAACTGAACTTCGCGCTGAATCGTTTTTCGTTCGGTTAATGATTAATCGCTGCGTACAGATGTACATAAAATGCACCTCTATATCCTACCTTTTCAATTTCTCAGCTACAACAGCGGCCCACCCACCGTGCGAAATACGTCCGAATATTTTTGAAACGGTTAATGTTTTGTTTTCGACTGGGAATCTTGCACGGATAACGGCTGGCTGGAGATAAAACGAAAATGACTTAACCTACAAATGTACAACCAACTTACCCAAAACTGTCCGAGCAGGTTGATGTTGACTATTGCGGTGATGGTGTGATTTGTGGTTTCCAGAAACGAGTGGGCCATAATGACGCTGGCGTTGTTGATCAATACGTCGACAGGACCCAAGTCTTGTTCCACCCTGGCGGCCAGCGCTTCCGTCTCGGCGCTGATCGCAACGTTCACCGTGTACGCTTTGATCTTGGCGCCCGGTATGTGTCTCTCGATAAACTGCGTCGTCTCTTCGTTGCTGAGCGGGTCCACGTCCACGCAGGCCACCTTGGCGCCCAGCCCGGCGAACTGCAGGGCAAGCTCACGACCCAATCCCCTACCCGCCCCGGTGACCTGTGCGGAACAAAAATATTTAAACGATCCACATGGGAACATATCGAAAATATATCGTTTATACACAAATTCGAGCTAAAACAATGTACTCACGGAGGATAAAATCAAACTACAAATTGACAAGTTTCAATTCCAATTTATAAACTATGATAATATAATTTCTGAATTTTTCAACTATACACAACGTTAAGTAAAATAATAATTTATATTTTTAATGTCTTCACAAAAGATTAAAAAAATGTCAACAGTTTCATTGTAGTTCGCACTGTAGACATTGTTTAAACTCAAAATGTATTTATGAAAACGTGTTTAATATTTACCAGTACGACTTTATCGTTGACGGATTTTTTCGATTTCGGCAGAATTATGCGGAATATTTTGAAAAACAACGTAATGAGGAGCATGTAAAATATGAGCACCACTTCTAACACCAACGAAATCGGATTCTTCACCATCCATGACGTTTGCGAGGCGGGTGGCGCCAAAGGCAATACTTTTACATCGTTTCGTTTATGTTCGTGGTGGGTGAGCATATTATCACTGGATAAATTCTAAACGTATCGACAAAAGCGAAATTAAATATAATATGGAACAAAATAAATACATTAAACATAGTAATCGAATTAATAATCAACAAATAACGGGTGTAAGTATGGTTTTTTACTTTAAAGTGTAAAAAAAAAGTTCATTTTTAGTTGTACATTTATTAAAAGTTAAAACTTAGCCGTTAAAAATAAATGAACATAAAACGAAACGAAAATGAGAATGTTTTGTCGCTGTTACTAGTAATATGAGTAGGTATTTTTTATTTTTTTTTTTTTTATTATTTACCTTTAACATAACCTTTTACAAACTGATGTAATTTATCGTGAAATACGGCTTGTTTTCAAAAAAAAAAAAATAATAATAATAATAATAATAATATTAACAAAAATGTTTTTACATATATATATATATATATATATTATAATAAATATGTAAGTATAAATTAACTATACTCTGTGAATGTAAAAAATAAAAAAGTTTAAAGAAAAACTTATAAAAGCAAACAATATGAACGTTTCAATAGTGAGAATTGTTATTATTGTTATTTTGTTGTTTAGCAAGTCGTATAGTAATAAGAACACTTTAAAGATTAAATGATGTAAAACGGACGGATGCGTAACAATTTATATTCAAACGAATGTCCGTGTGCAACGTTCTAAATGAGCTCAAAGTTGAATCATTTGTCATAAAAAAATTACGAATACCCACGAATATGTTCACAATATTTCATTAATTATACGATCATTAAAATACATTTTCCGCAATAAAACGGCTCTTAATATTATCGTACGTTATTCCGTATATTATTATAATAATTATTTAGGTAGTTATAAAAATTCGGCACGGGAAATAGAAAGGTCGACGGATACAATCGGAATCGGTTATTTTTTTTTTTTTTTTTTTTGCAACATGAAAGCGATACCATTAACCGATACCTATTCTGGGTATAAATCTCGTAATATTATCAAAGGGATTTTTTTTTTTCCTTTGCTAACACTTGGGCCGCATGATCAATTCAGACCCATTCTCCCGTTTCCGGTCGGTGTGAATTCAGACAATTCAGACATATTTTAAATATTTTCTAGGTGGCACTTAAGAGAGGTGATTTTTTGAAATTAAAATTAATATTCTGGATAATGAGGAAAACCTGGTTCTTTAGATTAAAAAATATTGAATGTTTAAAGATAAGGTTGTCATTGGTAACCGTTTTTGTTTATTTATTGTTATTAATTTTTCCTTTTTTAATCTTTTTTAAACAATCATTGTTGTCATCATTTTGCCATAATATGACATATCTATCGTTAACAAAGCATCACTATCACCTGAACTTCGCTCAGAATCGTTTTTTCGTTAGCAATTTTTTATTGTTACTTCTACAGATATACACTAAATTTCCTTCTGTATTCGACCTGCCCAACTTCTCACCTACAATAATGACTGCACCCACGTACGAAGCATGTCCGTCCTTTTTGTACAAATTGATTTTTTCTGTAAACAACTTTACTACCAGAAATCTTGCTCCGATTTTCAAATATAGTACCTTTTCTATAATCAAATTTTCTTTTTTTTTAAATTATTGTACATTTTCTATTACTGATCACTTTAACCGAAAATCTGAACACAGTGAGCGACAAAAGATGCATTGATAACTACTGCTTGTTCCGTACCTGCAATTCTGAACACTATAAGCGGCGACTACTATATTTTCATTTTTTTTTTTCTGTAATTCAGTTAAATATTTTCATAGATATTTAAAATTTGAATAGAACACTTGCCTTTTTCAAACGTGGTAGAATTTTCAAAACATTATTAGCTATTATTGAGCTATTTATAGAAATTATAATTTTCCTAAGTTTTTTTACATAATATTCTTATTCAGTACTCTATGTACGATAGTTTTACACAGAATTCACATCTATTTTCAGAATTATTATCGTTTCACTACATTTCGATCGGACTGAAATTAGTCTAATTTCCGTATACACGGTCGGTAAAACATCGGTATCACCCTACAATAATATTGAATTTAAATTCCTTCGTATTTTCGATAATTTTATAAATCAATAATGTTACAGTTGTCCGTCATTTCAAAGACATAACATTATAAGAGTTTATGTTAAAAATCTTCGGTTTATCTACTTTTCTCGTTATCTACCAAAAAAAAAAAAAACTTTCGGTTTTGGTATTTTTATTGCCAATAAAAGGTGTTTTCCACCAGCCGGCCAAAAACTACAATATAGAGTACATTTAATAAATATATCTATATATTTCACTCTAACTTAAACGTTTTTTCCATACGATTTAACATAAATATATGTGTATTTCTATTGGATTAAAGACGAATATTTGCATAATTTGTACTGCCCCGCCAAGAGTGGGCAACTTAAAACCGGTTCAGAACGGCCCACGAAAGACGCGGACACAGATGTATCGGCGGAAACTTCGAGACGGGTCTGAAATCGATTGTGATAGCAAAAGCCAGACAGTGGAACAGGACGCAGTACATTATACTAGATTGTCCGAGAAAAAGTTTTCGCCGAGGAATGACGGACATTACAAAGTTAACCAGCAAAAGCCTTAGAATGGATCATTAACTTAGATATTAGTTTATAATGGTCTATTTTTCTACTGTTTTCTTTCAATTTTCCGCTGAAAAAATTGTGTAAATAATTTATTTTCTTATTCCTGTGTCTTTACGTCGATAATAACACGAATTTAAGACGGTCGTTTTCGAAAATCGCGGAATAAACGATACGTTATTTATTATTTTTGTAGGTATACAATACATGTTATTTACCATTTTAAATTAAGTTTGCGTTTTAAAAGTGCACATTTTTTATTTCGGTTGACTGTTTCGTAATAACATTTTATTTATTATGAAAGTTAAGCCGTGCGAGTTCCCGCCTGCACCTTGTGCACTGTGCAAATATTAATACTAACGTAATTATTTATTGACGAGAAGTCAAGGGGAAAATTTCCCGAGAAAAATGTACTATAATACAATATATAATATTATTATTATTAAAAGAAGAGGAAAAAATTTCGAAAGTCAACCGGAAATATAATATAACACTGCGGAGGAGGGGACGGCAATCCAAAAACGCTATAAATCACGAACATCTGGAACATATAATGTATAGGTACAAACTTGCAATTTCATATACGGGTGCGCGAAACATAATATTATAAAGAAACGACAATTCCATAATATATTATTACGACCGATAAATATATATTCAATCGAATAATAAATATTATCCAGATATTTCTCGCACAGTCCACGAGTCAATAAAATACGAAATATTATTAAACAAAAAGCATAAGGTCGTGGTTTTATGGGGCTAAAGACGCTAAAGTCGATAATTTTGGCCATTCGTTTTTGGCTCATACGTAAATTCTGCGCGGAAATTCCATGCCGCGTTTAATGGTACCACAGCAGTTTACAGCTCTATGTTTACTATCGAAATAACATTATAGAACGCGTTTGGAGATAATGTTTTTATTGTTCTTATTTGATTTTTTTTTTGTTTTTTTTTTTTTTTACAAGAAATTACCTATACCAATACATTTCCAGATAATAAAATCGAGAAAAGTCATACAATACACTAACTAAACAAGTGATAAATGCTAAAGGTCTCACCAATAGTGTAGCGGTTTATGACTAGATTTCTTTAAAATTAGAGCAGTTGGATAGGTTTATTATTATTTAGAGTTTATATTTTATAGATACTGAGATAACTTACCGCGATCGCTTCAATCAAGTACCTGTGGTTTTTTTCCCCTCAAAATATTTTTATTCTTAGGAACGCATTTATTATGTTTGAATTTGTTATTTTACGGTTTACATATTATATGTATCTGATTGCAGAACATAATTGTCTCGAAACCGCATTGTAACTTTCGTGTTTTTCCAGACGCGTTGCGCGATCACTCGAATAAAATGTTAAATTAAATAAATCGTTTTTTTTTTTATTATTATTCGTTCGTTTCAAAAATAATAAGTCCTTAAGTACTCTATTATTTCGTTCGTCTCGTTCAGGTTTGATGTAACAATTAAAAAAAAAAAAACACCTGGAAATATTTGATTTCTTAATTTTTGCCTACAATAATTCCACTCCGCTCGCACCCGCACGAGTACGTTTTGTACACGATTATTGTTCCGCAGCCAAATGGATTTCACAAAGAACGAACCTACCTTATTATATTATCATGACGTTTCTTTAAGGGCGACTAAATTGTTTATTTTCCGTCGTCGTCTTAAAAACCCCGGCTACACAGCGGCTAAAAACTTAAATCATCAATTACCTCTGGGGTGCCATTAACCCGAACCGACATTTTCGTAGTTTCGAAGATAAAATCCTGAACTTTGCTATTTATTTTGTGTGAAAGTAAACAATTATTATGAAATTTCAGCCACTCTCCGATTTGTTATACGCGACCTTAAGTTCAACGATATACATCATCAGCCGTTATGACGTCATCTTATATAAATGGTTCAGACGAAACGCTTCACGTTAGGTATTTTCTTTTATTAAATTTTCGTCGTTTAAAACGGGTTGACTTATATTGCATTTTTACAAATTAAATGATTCAAAGGCTAAACGACGATCGATTTTTATTAATTGTACAAAATACATAGGTATAAATGCGTCGTATTCGTGCAAAAAGTGACTAAATATATAAAACAATGTCGAAATGTCTATGATCGCATGGCCTTTATTATAATATTATTAGGTCAACAAATTATGTGCCCGAGTAATGATTTCAAAAATAGTTTACCAAACACTAAACATACAGTTCTGGGTTAAAACCAAAATCGAAATTATTATTAGCACGTTTAGACCCAGAGCGAAGCAAGGAATGTATTGGTTTTGCAATGATGCTTTTTTTTTTTTTTGTTTCATTATTATTTAATTTGTATCTGTGAACATTTTTTCTACTAGAAATCTTGATCGGATGTATTAAATGTAGCGCATATTCTGAGAGTGAATTTTATATAGTGGGTACTTCGGGTAAGTCATTTTTGGTTTTCATAATAATTTTGATAAACCGGGGAAAAACGTAGACAAATCTGGAAAATTTACGAAAATAATGTTTTTTGTTATTTTTAATTTTGTTTATTTGTACATTTTCTTAGACAATTTAAATTTGGTTATAACACTTTTATTTATCTTTTATAGACATGACACATTTTTCAAAACATATGAGCTATTTTTGAGCTATTTGTAGACATTTAAATTTTGCAAGTTTTTTTGCATAATTTTTAATCGCTATGTATTCTGTAGATACAATTGTTAGATCAAACAGAATCCTTGAAAATTTATCAGGAGGACCATTACAAGTCATGCTTTATGGTCTTAAATCGTTGCGCACAGATATATGTTTAATTCCCTTCTATATCCTTTTACGTTTCCAACTACTCGTCTACAACAGTGGTCCACCTATTAGGCGAAATATGTCCATCTTTTTAAATATAGCTTGATAAAAAAAACTTATAAACAATAACAACAACATGTTTCAATAAGAAACTAAAAATTAATCAAACGTTTATCGAGCAGTATATTATATTTTATTCGTTTCCAGAGAAAAATGGTGCAGGAGCGGATATTCCAATGTTCCAGATTTACGACGTATTCGCCTAAGAGCTGAGTTTCAGTAATTGGCTTTTTTTATTATTTATTTATTTTTGAGATTTCTCTCAGGTTTCCTTTTTTTTTTTTTTTTTTTTTTTTTTTTTTTGTTTTCTATGTTTTTTCTTTTTTTGACTCGCGGCATTTTAATTCTTCGTTGGGACAGTACGATACGACATACCATATGCGATTTTGAGAACGCGAATGTACCCGTAATAAGGAGAGCGTAGGTAGTTTTTTTTTCAGTTTTGTAAACGGCAACAACCGTCACGGAAGTATCGGTATTTTCGAACAAAAAAAAAAAAACGAAAAGAAAAAATATAATAATAACGTCGCCATCGACGATACGGATGTTGCGACTTACAATGACGCGCTCGTTTCTCGTCATCATTATTATTGTTATAGGTACGTAATGTTATTATGATTTTATTTAAAAGTTTCCGGCGTCGTCGTCGGTACCTAAGGAACGCATATTATTATACAATAATATGCGTTCGTTTATACAGGGTGTTTTAATTTTTTAATTTGATCATAATCCAGTATAGCTAAACGGTTGATTTCAAACAAATTCGATTTCTGTCAAACGAAAAGTGATCCGATTCGGACGGAGAGGTGGCTACGGTCGAAATCAAACGTTAAAGTGCGTTTGCGAAATTTCGAAAACATTGTACACACGATCGCTCAGCGATTCTACGTATGTATATGAAAAAAAAAAAAAAAATCAAAATCGAAATCTATGTCACTCGACATTGTACCTACGAATAATAGATAAACGGCGAATCGCGATGAAAATAGAGGGAAAAAAGGTCACCCTGTATAATATATTATTACTACAATACGCGCATAGGTCTCTCGTCACCGCCTGCGTTGACGGCCGTATAATACCGTGCCGTTTTTTTTTTTTTTTTTTTCAGGAGCGCAACAGGACTTTTAATCCGATTCCGGGAAACTCTCCACTGTTACGCCGGAGTTATACGGTACACACCGCGGGAGCGCGGGAGTGCGGTACGATACAGGAAGAGCTATTATAATTGATTCGTGACTCTTTTGGCGCGCGCGGGTCGTCGCTAGTGTGGGACGAGGGGTTTCCAATAAAGCACGCCTCAAGGGTAACTTTTGCGGGAACGGCGGCGGGCGGATACGACGAGGTGCAGATCGCGGAATAGAAAGTCGTAATTCTCTCTCCTTTTTTTTTTTTTTTTTTTCTCGTCCGCCCCACTCCGCCTCCTGTTTTTCGCCTTTTATTCCATTTTCTCCCTAATATACGTCGGGCTCGCCTCCCTCCGCCCACTCTCTCTCGCTCTCTCGCACTCTCTCCGTTTCACTCTTTCGCTCTCGCCCGGCAGCCGCGCGCCCGTTCCGTTTATACCCCCGCCGTCCCGAGTCTCTCTCGCGACGTCGCAGCACTATAATCACTCTGTCTCTATTTTCTCGTTCTCGTATATATATAATAATAATAATAATAATATATCTATACGCTTAGTGTGTGTGTGTGTGTGTGCGTGTATGTGCGTGTGCGTGTATGTGTGTGTGCGTGTGTGTGTGTGTGTGTGCGTGTGTGCGTGTGTGCGTGTGTGTGTGTGCGTATATACATAGCCACGTAAACGAGAACATCTTTTCAATCTGCGTCCCATTGTGCAGGCGCGTGCTTTTCGGACCCGAACGGAGAGAAAATGAGAGAAAGAGAGAGAGAGAGAGAGAGAGACAGAGACAGAGAGCGAGAGAGAGAGCGCGGAGTCGTTAGCGCGTCGCTATTTTGCAACGGACCGCACCGCGCGAGCAGAAGTCAGCAGTTTTTCTTGCCGCCCAATGCCGCCGGCGGCGGCGTTCCAATCTCCGTCTAGTTTAATTAAGGGCGAACCGCACACGATTACGACGCCATCACCGCCGCTACCGCCGTTGCCGCCACCACTTGGCTCCATTATACAGGGTGATTTTTTTTATGTATATTTTTTTTTCGTCATGATCCCGAAATTATTATCAACATACGCAGTGGAGAATTCAAAACAAAGCCAACACTAGTATACTAGGCTGTATCGACGATTTCGAGAGGAGCAGCGCACACTTTTTTTTTTAAATTCTTTTATAGTATCCGAGTGAAACGAGGAATGTGTTGGTTTTACTGTGGCGTAATTTTTTTCATTGTATTATTATTATTATTGTTATTTATTTTTTTGTAACGAACTTTTTAACCAGAAATCTTGCTGAAATCAAAAACTAGTGACACATTCATAAGCAGTATACTTTTATTTTTTCAATTTTTCGCTATTAATAACAGTAATATTGAATGGCTAGGATGAGCAGCACGAAAGAAGGGTGCAATTTAAGTTAGAGCGTCAATCGAATGGAAACCTGCCGAAAGAAGAATACGGACCAGCAGAACAAAGTCAGAAAATAAACGATGGATAGACACGTAGAAAATAAGATTTGGATGTTTAAAACGGGATTCGTGAAATAAATATGGCTCGTATTTTATAATTTTACAATTAAACTATGAGATTTGGAATAATAGTAGAAATAATAGGTGAATCATAGGAGAAAACTGCCCAGTACAGAGACTACCCGTAAGTACCCTGTACAAGGATAGTGGCGGCTAAAACTCTTATAGAGTTGTGATTCAATAATATGATACAATTTTCAAAATAATATTGAACACATTTTAAATCAATTCTTTTTTTTTTTTAAAAGGGAGGGGGGAAACTCCTTTGACTGTTCTGAAAGAACTGGTAAAAGAGTGATCCTATAGGCACGGCAAAGAACTAAGTACAACATTTTCTAAATGAAGATTTATATACAATTTATTTCGGTTCCATTTAGTCATATTATACAAAGTCATTTATAACAATATTTTCAAGATTTTACCCACATTCCTACAAATACGTGGTTTAACTTTTGATTTTCAAATAACTATCTCTCTCATCCGTTCTTCTTTCAACGCAGATTCGAAGAGATAATATTTTTTCTAAAAAATTCGATATGCACTAATACCGGATTTAAACTGTTTACGATAGTTCATACGATTCAAGACTTAAAACAGAGGAGTATATTATAATAAAATCCATTTTTAGATGGCAGCTTTTGAAAAAAAAAATTATTTTTTTTCGAATCTTACTTTAAAATGTGAGAGGGGTGGGTGAAAATCCATATTTGACATCAAGTTTTGTGAATATTTTAAATGTAATAGTTAAATGATTGTACGACTAAAATAAATACCAATCAAAATCTTCATATAAATAGCCACTAAATCAAAATGTAAATTTACCCTGTATAATCGGTACCTAGCCGAAGCATAACCGATTAAACACATAGGGTCTGTGGCCCGCGTGCACAGTTATAAGAGATAATTGTGTGGTTTATTTAAACTTTGGTTTTATTATTTTTTTCTTTCAAGATAGAATAACTTGCTCCCATAACCGTAAACATCTGCAGCAACTGTTTTGTGCGTAGCAAATTTTGTCTATTTGATGCATTCGTAATTTGTGGCAGGTTACTATGTAAACAGAATTTTTTTTTTTTAATGTTATCCTATTTTTTATACTTGAAATACTTTAAAAACAAAATCAATTGTGCTGTTGATTGTTAATAAACAATTTTGCATTTCGTAACGGAATTTCGTGGGGTTTTCAATAATATACTATTTATTCGAACAATTTAATGCTTATGTATCATTTTGACGAAAAATAAAATAAAACCGAATAATTTATATCATACGGTTCGTTCCCTATCGTTTAACGTCCCTTTATTGTTAGATGTTTATTTATACGGAGATTTCGCTTGTACACACAATATTAACGCTACGCGAGGGTATCTTCCCCCGACGATTGGGGTAAGAATAAGTATTAAGTATACATTATTATAATGTTTTGTAAATATTTCAGTTGGTACACAACACATAACGGAAAATTAATATTGATAAAAGTTATATAAAAATAATAAGCTCTCGTTATTTTTGGAAAAAAAAAAAATAAAAAAACGCAATTATTTTTGAGCTATAATAATACGTACTTACATGACGCGTGACGGTATGTTTTCGCGTCACTTTTTCGAAAACAAAACATCAATTACGCGTTTACCGTGTTGGTTCGCAAACAATTACACCGGAGGGAAAATATACATAAAACTGCATAAAACACATAATACGTGTGGCCAGTAAATGTATACAGCGTCTATTTCTTTAATAATTTTTTTAATTCTGAACGTAACAAAGAGGCGCTATTAGATTTACTGAGATGTGGTGTTTTTGGTTTTTTCTACAGAACACTTGTTTTGGCGATTAACGCGATCCGATTATTGTTCGTGCATCATCACCATGAAACAATTGTTTTGCCATCGACCCGCGATAATGTCAATACACTGTAGAGTGTGGTCCGGGTCCTCAAATCAAAATTTTGATTGTCCGTTATAAAACGGTCACACTGACGTAAGTGTTGAATTATTTTTACGTTTTGTTAAATCAGAACTAATTTTGGTAGATATAGACGGAAAAGCGCAAAGATATTTGAAAAACAGCGGAATTATCAATTAATTATTATCGTTGATTCTCGCGCGCGCGCTAGACATTCTCTTTTAATCCGCGCTATTTAAATAGCGCGCGCGCGTACAGAACGTAATCACGATAATATCGTATTGCCCGTTCCAGTGACTACCGCACATTACAATACACGCTCCAAAATGCAAAGTTAATCACAGTACGTCATTACACAATCGGTGTTATACGGATTACAAAATAAGAATTACCTAAATACGATTATGGGTGGGTACGCTTTGAATGCATTACACCGGAATAATAACAATTTAGGAGGCGATAGGCCGTTATCGGCGCCGTGGAGACGAGCCTGTATTTTATGCAACTCTATTGTCCGTCATAAAATTATGTGAAATTAATTTGACAAAAAAAAAAAAAAACGATATTTCCCTAATTTCGTCCACACGGTGAGAGCAATACGGTATATCCGTAAGAATAAAACACGATTTTCGCCGTTCATTTTCGCTGCATATTAATTATCGCCGGTTCGACGGCACTCGACAGCCGTCCAATTTATATTATACGACACGAACATAATATCATAATATTCGATGATGCAATAATATCACCGTTAAACTTTAATATTATTATCGAGCGAGATGATCGCCGCCGATCAGCTCGGTAAACCTCTTCAACAGTTTTGACAATTTAACGCGATTATCATCGTATCGGATACCCAATAACGCGTACAATACAATAAATCCTAATATTATGGTAGTCGCGTGATAAATATTATATGATGTGCGCGCACCGGTTAACGACGTCCGGCAGCTAAAATCGATGGCGAAACAATATTTCGTTTTGGTAAAATCCTTTGAATTATAAAAAAAAAAACTAAAAAAAAAAAAGCGAATGAAAAATGTAAAACACAAAATATTCGGTATGAAATGCAATCGGTTTGAAAGTATAACAAACTATCGTGTCTTATTATTATTATTGATAATAGATAAATCGTTACAATATATTTTCATTTAATGTTCATATAGTCGCTTCGTATTAAAAGTATGCAAATTAAATTAGGTATTTAAAAATATTATATCAAAGTGCATACAAGCGAAACGTTAAACCAGATTATATAAACGTAAGTTAATATAAATACAATAAGACGGGCGAGAGGAAAGCCTGAAAAACCGATGAAAATGTCCTATACGAAAATCTAGAAAATATCGTACTCGCTGTGCGTCAGCGGTTTCACAAATTGATTGACTTTTACTTGTCTTTCGCAATAATAATAATTATCGTATGTAATTCGCACGTGATAAGACGTGTGTATTCTATTAGTTACAACACGAATAGGTAATCCGTGTCCGACGAAGGTAACGGTAACAGTCTTTTAACCGGGTAAATAATAAAACATAAATTCGCAAACAGTGGTTTAAGTAGTTATACCGATGAGAAACAATAATATTGCATACAGAACGAATGCGCTATAGCCGACGCTACGAGAATCACGTTAAACGCATTAAAATAACATTACGGTTCAGCAAATTTATATTATAATCGAATCACCTTGAACGAAGAAGATTTACGAATATGATTCAGTTATATAGATTTTATCGTAATGATTTATTGCCGTAAAATATTTTATAGTGGAAAATAATTGCCTGCAATACACGTACGGCAACTACTGTAATATTGTTCTATGGAAAAAAATAATTGAAAAAAACGTCCTAGAATAATGGTAGTGTTGTGAATAGATAATGTAAAATTTGTGTAGATAAAGATAAAAGATAGTGTGCATGCATTTATTTTAATAAGGCTAAGAGTTAAACAAATTGAAAACGTCTACATTAAGACAAAAGCTAATTACATTTATATCTAGATAAAAAAATTTGATATTTTTAAAAAATGTTATTTGTTTATAATTCGTATATTAGCTGATGTTTTATTTCTAATTTTTTTTATGGATAAAGAATTAGTCAAAATACCCAAAGTAGGTGTCGAGAAACGCTTTATATTAAAATTATGACTGTTTAATAATAAATTAATAATTATAAAACATTATATAGGTAATTTAAATAATTAAATTTAAAAAAAAAGATGTCCTACGATAATGGGGACAAATGCAGCCACTGATATAGGTATTTTAATGTATATCTTTTAACAACGATTTACCATTGCTAAGGAAAAAACTATTCTGAGCGGAGTTCAGTTGATAGTGATACTTTGTCAACAATATATATATGATGGTAAAAAAATTGAGTTTATTCAGTACGTTTTTAAATGATTGATAGATAACGTTACACTCCAATAGTAGTATGGTTGTTTTTAGCAAAATGCGTAATCTGACATTTTCTACCCAGTTAACCTAAATCTCGATTTTAAAATTTTCTGAGTTAGTTGTTTTCTAACAATTATCTAAATAATTAAAACTGTTAACATACATAAATACTTAGATAACTTGGTTTTATTTATCTAGATAAGATAAAAGATGACTGAAAATCCATCTATATAATTTATTTAGATTAATTTATCTAGATAAGTCCCAACACTGGTTAATGGGGATGAGTGCAGCCACTGCAATAGATGATTTCACGTACACCTGTAAGAAACGATAAACCATTGCTCACGAAAAAACGATTCTGAGTGGGGTACAGTTGATGCTTTTTATATAGTAGTGATGCTTTTTGAACAATGTATATGTCGTTTTATAGTAAAATTAATAAATAGGCTATATATCTTTTCTTTAATAATATTTGTTTAATGTAATACCGAATTTCCAAATTTTCCGACATTTTTTTTCCGGTTTTTCGAATTTAATGAGTAAACTCCTGAGAAAATCAAAAAATGACTTCTTTAAAGTACCTGGCTAGTAAAATTTACTTTTAGGAATATTGATATCATTAAAAGTTGGAGCAAAATTACTAGTAGAAAAGTTGTCCATAGAAAAAAAATAAATAAAAAATAAACATCTTTGTAAAACCGTAAGCTTCTTCTCTCCACTCAGAGTCTAAAATACGTAATATACAAAATTAAATTTTTCCATTATTATTGTTATTTTTTTATTGGAATGTGAGAATGAGGATTTTTTTTTTTCAAATAAATTACCACTCGGAGAAAAATCCACATCTTTTAAGGTACGGCGTGAAAAATCGGAACGTTTTTCCTAACCGAACATGTAGTTTTCGAGAAAAAACTAACATTAACTAACATTATAGCTGAAATGACCGGTTTTTTTAAAAATCACATTTTTTAGTCACATACTAACGCAAATTTTACCCGAACGAATTACATAAAGAATTTGCTCACCCAATGTTATTATATACAGCATATATATTATAATAGTCGTAACCATCATCGTTCACCACCACCGCGGGGGAAAAAAAATAGAAAATATCCCGGGGTAGGGTAGGTATTTTGCGTTATGGTTTCGTGTAGGGAAAAAAAAACATTAAAATGTATATTATATTTTGTTATTTATTTATATCGTATTGTTCGAAACGGTTTTCGGGGTTCTGTTCGTATATATGCGTTTTTATATTTTTGGCACATTTTCTGAAATCGTGTAGTGTAGCAGCAGCAACCAACGTGGATAATATGTATGTGTCCAGACGTATATATTTACGACGACAGAGGATTTTTCTTTCTGGAAAATGTACGACGGTATATCTTATATATTATCTTATTGTATTTTTACACTGCATTTCTTCCCGTTCCAGCGTTTAACGGATCCCGTATTCTTAACAGAATTTTGTTTTCGGTTTTATAAACCGAAGTATGATTTTATAAGCTGTGTATCGACATTGTCTATTGGAACAATAATGAGAATAACACACCGTTATGAAGACGTAGTCGGAAAATTAACGTCTAGAATACAATAAAGTTAATCAATGATATTAATGGCCTGGAAAAAAATTGAGACCGCGATAATTACCTATCAAGATAATTAAAAAATCAACAATAAGTCGCTTTGATTCAGTAACCTTGTACGGATTGGAACTACTGATTCGAGCAATCAAAGGTCGATATATTGGTGGAGAGTAGAGAAACCTTATCCTAAAGTACAAAATATATAGGCCATGTTTGCACAGAATAGGCTAATAAATAGTACAATTTGATAAGCCAGTTAGTAAACATGAGTAGATTTTCTAAATTTAAAACATTTCCGGACCGTTGGCTTTATAGTTATTTCTAAAAACTACGAAAAGACTGGTGAAATGTTGAAAATTCAACTTGCATCGATTTTTGTCTCTACCAGATATTTTACCTTATTAATTATAATATTATACAATGTATATAAATATGTAGAGGGAACCTGATTGATCACTAGGTTCTTGTAATTTATTTTAGTCATTTTTATAACAAAAAAAAAAAAAGGCCAAAAATACTAATGTTCTTTAAACCGTAAAAAATAATTATACTCGGGTATAATTATGTTTAAGTTATTAATAACTTTAGAGTTTGATTAATCATTAATCTCATTCATTATTTATCCAAAATATGGGCAAAATACCAATGTACAAATAATATAATAATATTTACTCAAATGAATAAAACGGGCGAAGCCCACAGATTGATGTGGTTGAAAATATTGAATTGTCTTGATAATATCCGTTATACGTAATCATTGTGTCATATTATAAAAACTTACGAAAAACACTAAAATGTATTTATTCTATACATCACGGAAATAAGTATTCGACCGAGAATTAACAATGTTTTGTTTTACTTTGTGTTTTGCAAACATTACATATTAGCTTCTATTCGTATATGTACGCGAAACAAAAACACTCAACTCTACGACCCTATCCGGTTCAGAAGGCGCGGCGAATGTTGTAACGATCAGATATTTTATATTACTACACCGCGGAACACGATAACAAACATCACTCGAAGAGCACCTAATTTGAGAGTTTTTAGTGTTCGGGGAGGGGGGGGGGGGGAGGGGAGGGAACTAAAAAAATAATAATAACCCGTATAATATATAGTGGCATATGTCAAACGGTAAAAAGGGGTTTTCAAACCCTGGCAAAGAATTTTTTTTTTTTTTTTTTATTATTTCTTTTTGTTTTTTTTTTTTTTTTGTTTTTGTTCTGGCACCCTCCTATACACGAGAGTTGTGGGAACAATGCCCAATTTCTATAAGTGAGCCGCACACCAGTAAGTATATAATATCCTATACATGTACGCTGAAAGTTATGCATTATTATATTAGAGCGTCGCAATATTCTTGAGCAGAAAATGTACGTCGATAAAAACATCACCATATACGTGATACATGTGCGGCAACGTTCTCACATTAAGAATCGCATACGAAACAAAAAAGTAATAAAAAAAAAATGTATACAAATATCGCTATATAATTCAAAGCAAACGGTTACAGTAATTCGACGCGATAGTTGCAATTAGCAAGCGAAAAGTAATTTAATATTTGATTTATGTATTGCGATTATATGGCGAAATTATTGAGAATATTGCGTAAAAAAAGCGTTAAGCAGAAGAACAAGAAAGATGCCGGACATACTTCGCATCGTCAATTGGTCTCTGTTGTAGGTGGACAGTTGGGAAGTTATAGGATGTAGTATAATTTAGTTTGTACACAAAACGCAACAGCCAATCGTTAAAATTAGAAAACACTTCTGAACGCGCGACTTAGTAAGCTCAAGAGGTTATCGTCGTATTTTCGTCTCCATCGTGACCGAGATAACCCGGAAATCAAAAAAAATAAATTAAAACATTTGTTGTCCGTTTTTTTTATTAGAATTGTTTAGAAAAACTGTTAGCAATCTAGAAAATTGTTTCGCATAAAGTATCATCGAGCGAGATAAACGTGCATATTTTACTGCTAGGCGCGAAAATTCGGAGCGTTTTATCTAACAGAATAAAAGTGTTTTTTTGAAGAAAAAAAACGCACGTCTTATTAAAACTAATTAGGCATGTACTATACAAATAGCTTATTTGTTACAAACTCGCAGTCTAAAACGCGACAATAGCTACGAATTTAATTTGCTATTTTTAATGTAATAAGCGGGGTTGATTATTACTATGTAATGGATATTTGGACAATGACGACGATAACTGACACGTTTTGGATTTCACATAATATTATTATTATGCGCGGACGATTATTGAATAATGCACAATATGTGTCTCGTCGTAGCGGAATACGCGCCCGGCTATTATATTTCTATAATGTGAAATTGCAGGGCACTGTAATACGGTATAATTCCCGTATCGAGCATTGCCGTTATGATATTATTGAACTATACACGGTGAACAACTTAATAAACCCGACGCGACCATCTGTATTAGGTTATCGCGCTACCGGCGCCGTCGTCCTGTTCATAACAATATTACTATTTTATCGTCATTAAAAATCGTGAATAATATTATTAATTTTCGCTTTACGAAAAAAAATAAATATAGAATACCAAAATATACTACTAGTGGCGTAGCCGGGATCTCTCAATTGCGGTGGGGAAGAGAGAGGTGGCAAAAAAACAAACCCGAAACATAAAATATGAAAGTAAACCATACAGGAGCGCCATATACAGTAACATTTAAAAATACGATCGACGAGGGGGAGTGGCGTCGTTTACCCTCGTGATCATAGTGCTCGGGGTTGAAATTCAAACGCACAATTAATATTGTTTTAAGTTAGAGCGTTTTTGGTTAGAGTAATAGCAATCAAAATGTTCCGAAAAACATCATAATTCCTATTTTTAGAGAGAGAAAAAAATGGTGACTATTATCGTAAATTTTTCACTCTAACCTTTATATCGAAATGTTGAGCTTTTATGCCTATGGGCGGAACAAAAACACACAATTGAAACAAATATAAAGATGTATTCTAACTATATAGACTTGAAAATATAAATGGAGGTATCGCAAAGAAAATGAATATGATCCGTATCGATATTAAAATTTCATACCCAAACGAATTAATTTTGATTTTAAACAAATGTGTACAAACGAATATACTTCGCACGGTGGGTGGGCCATAATTCTAAGCGGAATTCGGTTAAATATGTTTAAAAGGTCTTCTTATTTAAAATTTTCGTCAAAATTTGATTTAAAAATTTATATTATTTCCATACATTTTCCCGTTTTGCTTAAGTTTTCTCTCGGTTTTTCCCAGTTATTATGAAAAATAATTGAAAAATCAAAAAATGATTTCCTTGAAGTACCAACTGAATACAATTCTATTTTCGGAAAATGTACTACACTTGATCCTTCAGAACAAGATTTCTGGTAGATTTTCGCGCACAGTTTAAAAAAAGAAATCATAATAATAATCACTGTAAAACCAATACATTCTTCTCAACTCCGTTCACTCAGAATTTAAAATGATTTATATCGCGGTATAAAGGTAATTAATAATTAATAATGAGATGTGCGCTCTATTTTCTATACTGACCGTGCTCATAATATGGGTATTCGGACTGTGAAACTCATTTAATTTAATAAAATTATCGTATATGTATAAAGTACTTAGTTGGGCCATCTGAGTTGCGATTGACGGTTTTTAAAAATTGAACCCCGGGCGTTTGATCGCCGCAAACAATTAACAAAAATTACAAAATAAACCGTGCCGAAATAGGAACGCGGGAAAAATGTCTTCGAATAGTAATAACAAATTTATTTTAAAAAAGAAACTAAATGAATTAATGTATTAAATGAAATTCCATCCGAAACAGAGGGCGTATACAAATACATATTGCGCGACTTTGTAATTGATTCTTTTATTGCAATAATTGCTAATTTTTTTTTTTTTTTTTTATTAAAACGTGAACGTTTCATAATCATACAATACAACTCACTGTATACCGTATACGTGTACGTTAGGGTGACAATTTAAAAGAATGGCTGAATATTAGTATTCGTGTTGAAGAAACATGGTATGTTATCTATTAAGTTTCAGAAAGTAAAAGTATATTCATAAACAATTTTCGGAAGATTGTAGAATATTATCTAGCGTTGCCAGGAACTAATGCTGCAATTTAAAGAGTATTTTCCATAACAAATGTGTTGTGGACGAATGAAAAAAATCGATTTCTTGTACATACTATCGAAGCAATTGTTATTCTGAAAAATAATTTTTAAAAAAAATGTTCCCGTGATGATTTTTCTCATTATTTGTTAATACACCCAAAACCATTAGACAAAATCAGTTCATCACAAAAAGACAACTATAACACGATAAATGGTAACAATGGACATGATGAGCAATCGGCATATACCCGTAAGTCATAAGAGTATCATATTATAATTATTAGATTTATTTATTATTTTAATAAATTAAATGTAACTGGATAAATAAAAAATTATTAAATTATTAAAAAAACAAATGTTTTACCCGTTTTTTATTTGTATAAAAATGGTCACCTTAATGTGCATATTTATTGTGTAATATTTTCGTGTGACTGTAACACTCTATTGGTCGGATAATTGAAGATAAAAATTGTTTCTATATAGTTTTGTACCTTTCTTCGGTTTTATATAGGTACAGAAAAAATGTTGAAGTACCGATGATCGGGAATAATAATTCATTATGTTGTTTGTAAAAAAAAAAAAAAAAAACACACATCACGGTAAAACTAATATATTATTATAAATGTCTCGCTTCGCTCGGAATCTAAAATTACTTTTTTGTAAAAAAAAAAAAAAAAATGTAATTTTAATTTTACATACTGCGGTGTCGGTTCTGTTTAACGTTTGATGTTGTTGTTGTTGATGTAGTTTATTGGCTTTACCGGCTCGACTGTGTTTCCTCCTCGGGCTACTTCCAGAAGACGAACCTCCGGCCATGAACGCGTTTTATTTAAAAACGATATTAAGTAATATGAATTATTTTTTTTAAAATTCGCGCACCCATACAAATAACGTTTCCGCAATTACAAGAGTTACAACGATTTTATTTTTTATCTTTCGAAATATTTTATGATGGCCAAAATACCGAAAATATTGTACAGAATTTCGACCGCGGCACGATTGATTTCACCGCACGTGAGTCGCTTAAAAAACAACACTAGAGACACCATTACAACAATATTAGGTACATTATAATGATCGGTTTATACATACACTGTAAATGCTCGACGTAAACATTGCACCAAGAGTCAGATATTTATGAAACTCGGATTGAAATATCATTTGTACAAATAAAATTATGTGCACTTATTATTCTACTGTGTGTTTTTTATTTGTTTCATTATATTTTTTTTTGTGTACACCTATAAAATATACGTATTAAATGACGAGATAATAACACACTGAGGATATATTTCATATTACACCTAATGTTATTGTAACAAGCGTATTACATCTTATTATGTACCAATTAATAATATTATGTTTTTTTTTTTTTTTTTTCTCTTTTTTTTTTTTTTTTTACATACACATCGATAAGCGGATATAATGAGGTGATTGTAACATCGATAAATCTGTTCGAAAACAGACAATGTTTTCGAAGAAATTCTATGATAAAATATCGTAACTATGTTTTGTTATATCGGCACCCGTTAAGAAATGTGTTAAATCTATTTTTTGTTATTATTATTTTAGATTTTGAGCGGAGCGAGGAACGGATTGGTTTTACAATGAAGTTTATTTTTTTATTTTTGTTTTCTGTGAACAATATTTTTCTACCAGAAATTTTGTTTCTATTTTCAAGTATAGCACTTTTTTTCAAATAAAATCTCACTGGAGTGGTACTTTAAAGATGGTATTTTTTTTTTGATTTTCCCAGGAGTTTTTAAAATAAATGGAAAAAGTCGGGAAAAACGGAGGAAAAACGAGAAAATGTGTACCTATCATAAAATGTATTATTTTTAAATCGTCAATATTACGGTCTATTTATTACTTTTCAAAATATATGTAACAGAAATCTGCTCAGAATCGTTTTTTTAGCAATGATTAAATTTCCACCTCTATCTTCTCAATTTCTCACCTACAACAGTGGCCCACCCATCGTCTGAAATATTGTTTTTTTTTTTAGTTTCAACTTAAGAAAGTAAAATAAACTCCTACTTGTTTAACTTTTGATTTATTTGCTGGTGTCGTTTATACGTGCACTTATACTGCAGTTACATATAATTTTACTAATACACTTGTAATTAATAATAATAATATTATAAAAGACAATACACTTTAAATGGTTAAAAACAAAAACAAAAACCGATTTTATGTTTCTTGGTCACGCCCCATATATGCATTAGAGAAAATATTAAATACCTATAAGATGTGATCAAGGCTCGGAAGTTATATCAAATACTTATTTTATTTTATTTTTATTTATAGGCACTTAGAGCATTTCGGGTAAAACACAAATATATTTCATACCTTCCTGATGTCATTAATGAAATATTTTGTTGCAACTTATTGCATATTTTGTACTTTTAATTTTCTTGATTTTGAGCGTTAAGGAATATTTTTGGCATTTTTTTATACAATTAAAAGAAACGAACAAATAATATACCAATAAAGATTTTGATTGATATTGTTGAAAAATTTTAATATTTAAACAGTACGAATAAACGAATCCGAAAAAGACTATAGTATTCGTTTGTTATCGGACAATAATTTCGTTCGTTTACAATAATTGGATTCGTCGTATTTATAAAATAATTCAAGATATTTGAAAATCGTTTGAAACTGTACGTGATCAAAGTGAAAAAGTTATTCAATAGAAATTCGATTATAAATTCGTGGCTTGTAAGCATTGATACAAGTATCAAAAGTTCTAACTAGCAACGAAACATTTGAAATTCTAGATGGCCTTTTTGAAAATTTAAATTACAATAACTTGGTTATTTTTAAGTACTCACTTGCGATGTATAATTATGTTGGGCAATCGTTCTTAACTTACAAAACTTTACCCTCGGATAACCGTGGGTCATCCAAATTCGAAAATATAAGAAACATCTTAAAATTCAGTGTAATTTTCGAGGTAAATAAATAAATACATTAAAAACATTTTAGACATTATATTTGTTTTCCTCAACATAATTAATTTGCTTTTTTTAGATTTATGTTAACGAGAAATAATCTAGAGCCGTTCAAAGTACAATAATTTATACATTAGTTCTTAAATACCTATCAGTTATCACCATAATGTTTATATTATTTAATATTTATTCACATTCTAATGTATTAATAAGACATTTAAAATTTTTAAAATTTAAAAAACAATATGATTTTTTTTTTCATTCAGCATAATTTCCAATATATAGCGCTTATTTTGTGTTTTTAAGTGAATGTCAAAAGTGCTTAAAAATAATTTTTTCAGTGCTACAACTGCAAAGTTCTGTTTACGATTACAATTACAATTTATATTATATTAAAATCATATTTCTATTAAACAACCCTGAAGCATCACTCCGCTAGTCTTGTCAAAAATTTTAGGTATACACAGAACTGGATTGAACAGGATAGCGAACATTTCAGTGAACTATGCAAAATTATTCTTGTATTTTTAATTGAACTTATATAAATGTAATGTATTTAGTACAATTTTGGGTCTGTGAAAATCCTGAAACTCGATGAGCCTCTACATTTCCTATCCGGTGCAGGATTATGTACATAGATACAAATAGTTATTAAGTATTAACATTTATATTTATTTTGTTCTAAAATACGTTTACTGTACGTGTTGTAACGAATCTAAAGATCTATTAACGCAAGGATTACCTTAGAACTTGGAGATATCATAAACATTGTCGGTTAGGTTTTGAAAAAATATTTCATTTAAAACGAATGTATGTTTAATGTTAATACTTTAGGTTATCATAAGTATTAGGTAAGTTTTTTTTTTTTTTTAGAAAATTTTTCATAAATCTATCTTAACATATTAACTCTAAACCAACTTAACCTAAAATTAACAAAATCTAACGAAAAAATGTCGACAGTACGAATTATGAAATTTAATTTTAAATGTATTATCGAACGTCAGTACACCATAACCACATACCTATTAAGAATACGTGTCATATAAAATATATTGTAATAATGACCGGTACTTAAGAATGATTCATAAAATAATAATAGTATTATATACAGGGAACATTGTAGTTGTATAGATAATCATAATTTCTAGATAAACAACTTTTCTACCATACATTTTTTTCCAGTCATCAACGACCGTCAAATGTAGAAACTTTAAAAAAAAATTTGGTTTGATTTTCTTGGTAGTTTCCTTAATAATTAGTAAAAATCGGAAAAAAAGGAAGAGAAAACAGGTTAATTTACACAAAGGGGTCTATTTTATTTCTGATATTGTTATTTGATTAAAAATATTCTTAGAGACCTGGAGTTTTCACAGAATACTTGTATCAACATATTCGGACGATTGAAATGTATAGATTTTTTTTCAACATTGTTGTATTGTGGTTTTGTGTGGATAAAATTGTTTGGTTGAATAGTAATGCTTAAGCATTAAGCACAAAGTTCATCAAAAGTTACACTGAGTGGTAAAAAAAAGTTTAATCATATACATTCGTAGAGGCGAAAAAATCATAAATGTCTGTTAAAGAACAATATTAATTATGAAGTAATAATAATAAAAAAAAGAAAAATGAATTATAACATTGACATTATGAACGCGATTACGTTCAATGTTAATAGGACAATAATCGTCTATTTTACATAACTATCAGCACTACATACTAATAACAACTCATTAATGAATAAAGTATTTTATAATGCAACTATTATCAAAATATAAGTAATTAATAATAAACAAACATATGAATGGAACGATGTGGTTTTCAACTATTATTAATTTTGTTCAAATAATAAACCATAGAAATATTAATAGTTCCTACATAATACAAACAAATTGTATTCAAAATGCAATTTATGATTGAATTAGATTTGTGATTGTTTTTTTTTTTTTTATCTAAAAAAATGATTTACCGATTTATCTATGAGAAAACTAATCGATTAAAAAAAAGCCGATACTACTGATGAGTGTGCCATTATTGTAAGTGGGAAGTTGGGAATACAACAAGTTATTTGATTTATATCTGTACGCAACGATATGTCATTGCCTACGAAATACGACTCTAAGAAAAGTTCAGTTAAGCAATATGTTTTGAAATACCGTGATTTTTACGGTTTTTGGCAATTTTAAACTAATAATGCTTATTAAAAAAAAAAAAAAAAAACCACTATACTTCATTCTACTTTTTTTTACTTATCACGTTTTATTCGCACAAAACTAAATAAAATCTAAACAAATCCGAAAATCTAAAATGTTTATAAAAAGTTCAAAAATTTCCAGAATATTTTAAAATTTTTACTACGTCTATAGAAAGGACTAATATAAGTGTGTTGTAAAAATGTTGGTTTCTATTTTTAACTGAATTGCAACAAAAAACAAAATCGAACTTTTCCCTTGGTTTGTTGCAGATTTTCCGAAAAATGACTACCCGGGAAAATTCCAAATAGACAAAATTTTCTTTTAGAAAATATGGTAAAGATGCTACACTTGAATTTTAAATTAAGATTTTTCTGAAATTTTTCTTTCTGGTAGAAAGCCCAGAATTGGTATTTTTAGATCGGAGTAAGATTTTTGGTAGGTACCAAAGTTGTTGTCTAACAGACAAAAAATAAACAAATAAAAAGAATACGCATTATAATTCATAATATAACCAATACATTTCTTTCACCGGACTCAGAATCTAAAAACTATCAGTTTTTTAGTCTCTTGAATTATTATTGTGAATTCTGAATATGTACGCTGCAGAATTAAACAACCGTACGAATTATACGATCTGTTTAATCTGGTATCTAAAGATGTTCAATCATTTCTCTTTATTTCTTTAAAGTTAAATATTCGGCCAGACGCTCAATCGGTGTATTGTACTCCCGGTTAACAATAATATCCAACTCCCAAAAATTCTTCACAGAAATCCCGAGAAACCTTATAATATAATGTAACGTTTGAACATAATACGAGAAGGCAGGTATTGTACTTGAAACCCTTTATGTATAATTTTATACGAACTCGGTATTTCCGAAAATTTCGTTTGGTTTAAAATTAATTACACGTGATTCTCTTCATAAGTTGACATATCCTGCAGTAATGAGTAACCATAGTAATGTGTGTGTGGGTGTGTGCGTCTTTGTCTGTGTGGTGTATGATTACTTTAAGGTTTCTCATTACATGCACAATAAAGGTGAATAT